TAGTACCTGTGTTAGTCGTACCTGTGGTAGTTGTACCTGTAGTGGTCGTACCTGTGGTAGTAGTACCTGTTGTAGTTGTACCTGTAGTAGTCGTGCCTGTGGTGGTCGTACCTGTGGTTGTAGTGCCTGTAGCAGTCGTACCTGTGGTTGTCGTACCTGTTGTAGTCGTTCCTGTGGTTGTTGTTCCTGTAGTAGTTGTACCAGTGGTAGTCGTACCTGTGGTGGTTGTACCCGTGGTAGTTGTACCTGTGGTAGTCGTTCCTGTGGTAGTTGTACCTGTGGTAGTCGTACCTGTAGTAGTCGTGCCTGTGGTAGTCGTACCTGTTGTTGTAGTGCCTGTAGTAGTTGTACCAGTGGTAGTCGTACCTGTGGTGGTTGTACCCGTGGTAGTTGTACCTGTGGTAGTCGTTCCTGTGGTAGTTGTACCTGTGGTAGTCGTACCTGTAGTAGTCGTGCCTGTGGTAGTCGTACTGTGGTTGTAGTGCCTGTAGTAGTTGTACCAGTGGTAGTCGTACCTGTGGTGGTTGTACCCGTAGTAGTTGTACCTGTTGTAGTCGTTCCTGTGGTAGTTGTTCCTGTGGTAGTCGTACCTGTAGTGGTCGTGCCTGTGGTAGTCGTACCTGTGGTTGTAGTGCCTGTAGTAGTCGTTCCTGTGGTTGTTGTACCTGTGGTTGTAGTGCCTGTAGTAGTTGTACCAGTGGTAGTCGTTCCTGTGGTGTTGTACCCGTGGTAGTTGTACCTGTGGTAGTCGTTCCTGTGGTAGTTGTACCTGTGGTTGTCGTTCCTGTGGTTGTTGTACCTGTGGTTGTTGTACCTGTAGTAGTAGTACCAGTGGTCGTTGTACCTGTAGTAGTTGTACCTGTGGTAGTCGTACCTGTAGTAGTCGTACCTGTGGTAGTTGTACCTGTAGTAGTAGTACCTGTGGTTGTTGTACCTGTGGTAGTTGTACCTGTGGTAGTCGTACCTGTAGTAGTCGTGCCTGTGGTAGTTGTACCAGTGGTAGTCGTACCTGTGGTAGTTGTACCTGTAGTAGTAGTACCTGTGGTAGTCGTACCTGTGGTAGTAGTACCTGTGGTAGTAGTACCAGTGGTAGTCGTACCTGTAGTAGTTGTACCTGTGGTAGTTGTACCTGTGGTAGTAGTACCTGTGGTAGTCGTACCAGTTGTAGTCGTACCTGTTGTAGTTGTACCTGTGGTAGTCGTACCTGTTGTAGTTGTACCTGTAGTAGTAGTACCTGTGGTAGTTGTACCTGTGGTAGTAGTACCTGTGGTAGTAGTACCAGTGGTAGTTGTACCTGTAGTAGTTGTACCTGTGGTTGTCGTACCTGTTGTAGTTGTACCTGTTGTAGTCGTACCTGTTGTAGTTGTACCTGTTGTAGTCGTACCTGTTGTTGTTGTACCTGTTGTTGTCGTTCCTGTGGTAGTTGTTGCTGTTGTAGTTGTTGCACCTGTGGTAGTGCCTATAAAAAGAAAAGGATGTTCGCCCATTTTGTTGAACTTTCCACATTGTAGATAATAGATATTGTGGTTTCATGATAAAAACATTTATCACATACACTTGACGCTTTTGTGACTACGTAAAAAATGTTTTAGACGGCTATGCAAATATTTTGTCGTGTTTACAAACATAGCATTAGCGTTGTAAATGTAAGCGTTGCACTGTACATAGGCGCGCCAATGTAAATCTGGAAATTGTTCTTTTTTTAGGTATATATAGGTGATAAATTGAGTAATTCATACGTGTAGTTTTATTATTAAATTTATTGATCTTGTTGAAAATAGGATATCATAAGTATAATTGTATTTATTTAGTAATAAACCTACACTCATTCAAGATCGACAATTCTTACAAACGGATAGAGAAACATGCATTAACGGATGGAGTGCCGTTGTTGCATGTTTTTTTAATTTGTGTGACCTAAGGCGCACTTTAAAATATAGACGGCCCCTGTTGTTTAATTTACCGTAATAAACGTAAATCTCAAATGACATCATTTTGCTTGGCATAAACATATACAATGGTTTCTTTATAAGATAAACACGTTACAAAACACGGAATACTCGATTTAGACGTAAACTTTTATGCGGACTTTTTTAGCATCTCAAACTTTTTAAACCCCTCGCCCTGCGGGATCTGGTTATTTAATATATCTCCGTGCTTCTGCACAGATCTTCTGCACGTCTTCTGTGCAGATGTTCACGCACCAAAACGGTGCATGAATCCTCTATTTATGACGCGGGTTTATGTCAATCTTAATGTGCGTAAAAATCGAGCCTCCTCTGTTCAGCTTAATAGCAATTTTCCTGGACGAGAAACTCGTTATGCTTATCAGAAAGAATGTCGTGTAATGAAAGTATTTTAATTATTGATCAGCTAGGTCTAAGGAAAGAATATAGTCTTGCATAAAAACCACGCACACAGGTATACAATTACAGTGAAGAGAATATGCAAAAGGCTCTCAGAAGTCCCATAGGGAGCATGAGAAGGCGTTGCCAAGGAGCTCTTTCACAGACACGCTACTGAGTCTAAACTTGTTAACATAAATGAGCTTATGAAAATTTGGAAAACAAGTTGCATGTCCAAATAACTTTAATATGTTCGGCTGCTTCTTTTTCTTTAACACTTAACTAATGCAAAGTCAGTAAAATAATGTTTAATTTCCTTCAGTCAAATAAATTAACATTACGTAGGTAATCAAATTATTGCCTAGAAAGCCTGATGCATAGCATAAGTTGAGTAGTAAGAGTATAATTTAAATGACCGCCAGTAAGGTTAAAATGTCGCAGACTGTTTGTTTGATTGGGCCCGTTCAAAGACGCAAGCAAACGTGCACGGATCAGCACCGTCTTAAGCTGAACTCAACATTATGACCTGATTTTTAATTTAGATTATAATGAGACTTTAGTAGGATCAACAATGATATTATGTGGAAGAATAGTATACACTGATAATATCAAAAAATGAAAAAAAAAAAAAAAAAAGAAAACACCAAAAAATATGCATTACATACAACGAATTCGCCTAGTGGTTCAAACAACTTGCATATATGATACGATATAATTTAACAATAAACAACATAAATAAATGTCCGGAAAATGCACCCACTCTAGATCTACGGGGGAAAATAGGAAAAATAAAACAATAAAACTTGTAATAACATATACATGCATAATTTCTGTAGTTTAATTATTATACACCTTGTGATATTGGGAAACCGGTATAATTAAATTAAAAAAATTAAACATAGGTTATTATTATAATTTTTTAATGTATTGTTAACAATCATCTTAAAATTGTATTTTTATGTTTTATCAGATACAAATTTTCTTGTTATGTATTCTATTATTCAACCAGTTGTTAGTTCTAAACAAAAAAAGTCAATTTTACATACCTATCTGTAGCACAATTACAAGCAAGCAGAATAGGGGTTTCATCCTGTCCCTTGTCATTTTGAAACACCTTTGATAGTTTCAGACCCAGGTCCACGTATATATAGAACAGATCTACCTACGTTACTTACACCATTAACTGTTGTAATATCAATAAAATCAAACATTATTAATTAAAGGGCACTTAACAGAGAACAACTCCGCGTTATTTTTGCGCGTTTTTTCTCTACAATGGACATTTTAGGACATTTCCTTTAACCAACAACATTTTCAGCCCTTCCTTTAGTACTTATCATCATATAAAATATCAAGTTTCGGCAACACGTGCTTTTATGTGGACTCTAAGAGGAACCTTTGATAAATATGTACATTAACAAACAAATTAATAAATATAAATAAATATAAAACCAATCGTTTCTGTGTGGTCAGTGGACATGTCCATAAATAATACACATTTAGAAAATATTTTATTTATCAAACAACAGTAATAAACATACCCACAATAAAATAAAGAAAAAAACAACGTGTCTCATGAGTAATATATGTGTATGTTGTTTATCCATATGTGCCGGTATTTTTTTTTCATTATTCCAATATAAGGTCAAGAAAATCAGACGCTTTAACATATAAACACTAAAACGACTGAATTTATGTATTTGGTTTGTCCAGCTTTGAATTTGGAAAGTCCAATCGTAGTTTAAAATTGTCAATCAAAAAGTAAGCTGCCAACAGTTTAGAGTCCTGTAAGTCTGCATGGAAGTCTATACTAGTGTCAAAGGTCAATCACCATTAGATACGTTGCCTTTATCAACTGATCTTGTTTTTAAAATACATTTTGAATGTCTATTATAACACAATTTGTTAAATACTTCAGTTATGATAGTATTTGTCAATTATCTGTTGTTACATAATAAATAACCTTGACTATATATAGAAAAGTTGTATTGTATTCTATTGTTTTGTATTGTATTGTATTGTATCAAAAATGCATTGTATTGTATTGTATTACACATTTTGTATCATAGTTTGGGGACCTTTCTGTTGAAAATGTGTCAGAGTTAAATCGTATAGATGCACAGTGCGTTTACTGGTGTGCAGGTATTAGTTACCCGCACTCCAGAGCATGCCCTGGGGTTTACTTATTGCGACGGCAGGGAAAGGGAAAGATTTAGCGCTCAGATGATCGTAAATTGGTTACTTTTTTCTGGGGTTTCATATTGTGACTATGATACAAAAGAGAAAGAAGGTCAAAACACTCGGCAATTTAATTAATACTCGGGGGCTACGCCCCTCGTACAAATCAGATAGCCTCTTGTTTCGATGCTCTTTCTATTAGTTATTATTGTTTTGTGTGCTATTGAAGTTTCTTTTAATTTATTCAATTTTTTATTACATATGACACAAATAGTTAAAACGTTTCAGTTTTTTTTAAATATACATCATTACATTTCAGACTAAATTGTTTTACCAGTCAGTTAACTACTGAAACCATTAGCCTAGTTACGAGACAGGGCAACATTTAAGATAATAAAATAATTGATAATATTGTTAACATTACTAAAATGATATCATACCTATATACACATATTGAAAGTGTTGTAATCATTTGCTATTAATTTACATTTAAACGAAAATTAAACGACACGGCGCATACTTTAATTTTCGGCAATATCGTTAACATGAGTTAGTACTTAAGATAATAAAAAAATATGGAATTTGAAAAAATAATAACCAAATTAATGATTATACTCAAATTAACTAAATATTGTTTTACAATAAATGCTGATATAATTCCCGATGATATTGACACAAGTCTTTCTGGGTTCCAGTCAAATGTATCAATAAACTATGGTACCAAACAGTCAGACAACCAGGAAGAAGGACCTAGTACAATGCTGGGACAGGTTGGAGATTTGGACCTGGACGAGTTGGATATCGGAATTGAAAAATGTAATTTCTATACAGTGAATAAAACACTTCAACAAAATGTAAATGGAACTTTAATTAATTCAAATAATTCCGGTGAAAGACAAAAATACTCTATACAGATACCAGAAAATTATACAGAAATATTTGTTCAACATGCCAAAATAATTGGACTTTTCTACGTTGAAAGGGTAAGTATCATTTTATTATTGATTCTTTATCGATCCCACGAGAATTATTGCACAGTTAATTTCGCGTATCATTTCATTTTTCGTTCTTTGAAAAGAATACTCGCGCTTATCCTTTCTAGCATTGATATTTGGTAGTTTTGGAAATATTTTCTGTTCAAAGCATTGTTTTCTCTGACATTGAGAGTATAAAAAGTTGAGTTGTAAAAAGGGTATTTATTATTATTGGTATTGAATTAGAGAATGTTTGTAGGTAAATTTATGAAAGAAAAAAGAAAACGGTTATAAAATGAAGTTTAAAAAAAACACAAGCAAATTATATATTTTTTTACCTGAGAAGATATCGTTATTTTTTAAAATGATAATGACGTTTTGGTCTTTTTCTTCCCGGGCGTGTTTCACTTACTTTACAAACTACTAGCTGCAATCACACTGACAAATACTATGATATTTATGTATGATTTGATATATATATTTATTATTATTATTTAATTCGCAGATCGTTTCCAACATTCATTTATTTGAATATGCTAACAAAACAGGCAAACTGGTGGATATTAAAAAGTTGAAAGCTTTAATTTCGTCTGAAACAAAGGTATTGCATGATATTGTTACTATATGATTTAATAATGTAAGAATATTATAATTTATAATTGTCAATATAGGAACCACTGTCTACCACCCTATTTTTAAATGTTATTCTTACATTATCTTACATTATCTTTTAAGAAATGGCTCATTTGGGGTTTTTTATATGACGAGGATAGAAGTGTTGTTTTTTTTTCTCGAGATTTTACATTATACAATTCGACCGATAACTTGTGTGTAAAATATAAGATCTTTCGATCAATCCATTGTTTTAGAATAAACATTTGAACAAAGGCACAGTAAGCTTAGATACATTTTTTTCTATAAAAGGGCAATATAAAAAATGTGTTTATAAAATGTTTAATTAATAATGGATTAAGGGCATGATAAATGATTACTATACGAAGGCAGTGACCATAAACGTGAACTAATTTCTCATATAATTAGCAAAATGTAAACAAACGAGTATTTTGACTTCCATACAAAAAACTCAATCACTATAACACTTCTGAATGCCAAACTACAAAAGAATGGTTAAGCTGTATATAGCCAGTAATTAACATTTTTGGATAGTGGAACACGGCATCAAAAAATGTTTTGAGAAATAAAGATGAAGTCATTGTTTTGGCGTAATGGGCAATTAATTGTGTAACATGGCGGTTTAAAATCTTTTAACTCAGCTCAGAATAATCGCAATCACAAAAACACAAGTTAATTATGAATTCATTTCTTTACTATCTTTGTAATAATTCTAAATTTGTAGTTTTTTGGTGTATCTATGAAGGATTTTTAAATTCTATATTTGAGACATTTAAAACCTTAGTAGAGCTGCTTTAACAAAACAAAAATCATGACTTTATTGGCTCTATTTAAAATCATGTTCAACTTTTGCTACAATTATAGTCTGATGCATGATTTGATATAAGATTAAACTTCACTTTTTTTATAAAGATTAGCCACTATTCTAACATAAAACAAACACGTGTCTGTATGTTATTATAGGTAATAGCTATTGAACGTTATACCACGGCAACTGTTATTGTTAAAGTACCTGATGAATCAAGAAAATTAAACCTTCCTCTACAGAGAAATAAAAGAAATTTTGAGGTAAGATAAAAAGATTACTGAGTTAAGATAAAAAGGGACTATGATTTAATAACATTTATTACTCAATTTGTCAATTTATACCATGTAATTTTAAATAAAACATTCCGCGTAAATAACGGATTATTGAGTGAAATATCTTCTGTTAACAACACCAATGAAACTCTCTTTACAGATGTTTTTGCAGATATTTATTATAAAAGATACATGTGTTAAATTAATGCTGTAAATACATATACACATATGACTGTCGATCATTATGTACTTTATGATTATGTCAGTCGCACTTACACATCAAAATTAATACAAAATGTAATAACTGAAACCTTTTCAAGAGTACACAATAAATATTACACAGAAAAATAAACAACATTAAAATATTTGATGTGTTTACTTTCTATGTCAGTACAATATACACTCGATGAACAAGTGCAACAAAAGATAACAACAACAAAGAAACATGATTAAACTAGGGTTATCGTTTAATGATAATTATTATCACGTGAATATGTACATGTCCATACATTTGTAATAAATAGATATACGACTATATATATATATAGGTAATTCATAACATAAATAAATCTATTATTTTATTCCACGACTACGCATTCGTCAATTGTATAAATAAATGTTGATAAATTAGCATCAGTGATATACTTGCTATTTTCCTTCTTGCTTTGATGCTATCAGATCTGTGTTTAAATCAAATGGCTATTGACTGAATGAATTTATGAATTCCAATTCTATTATAAATCAAATGATTTGATCATTTCAATTATACACGTGCCGAGGGCAAATGAGAAGATAATAATATTGATCGTTATAGCGCACGTGCTATACAATTTAAAAGCTGCGCTTGGATGTTAATAATTTATATCAATTAATTAAATCAAACCGCTGCTTTAAGATTAAATCACGTGACCATCCAATATATTTCGAGATTGGACGCTGTAGCACCCAATATATGTATTCTATATTGAACAATTTTGTATGTAATTTCAAGGATAAAAGCCTTAAACTTCTAGAATTATCTGAATATATTCTACTAATAGTGTTCAAAGCGCCTTGCGAAAATGAGTTTTACTCGTCAAACCATAAAAATAATAGATCACATTTTGCGATTCCTCAATATCATCTTGATGTAAAATAAACATGTTAACATGGCACAGGTACAATGCGGGATATATATCATTATACATGTATATTTTAACTCGTTTTTAACACAGCTTGAGATATCATATTCGACTCACCTTGTGGCTCGTCTTCAGCAAATATACTACTCAAAATTTGCTAAGTATCACTTTTTCTACAGTGCATTACTTTTGTGTATTTGTAATAAATGTGAAAATTGATTCAAAAGAATTAGATATGATTAGTTAGGAATTGATTTTTATGAAAATAATGACAATGGAAGTGTTCTTTGACGTGTGTCTGTTGCGGAAAGAGTGTGCTTGACGAAAATCAACATTTTGGAGATCACAAAGTGGAATAAAAAAATCTTGCAAATCAGGAAATGGTTGGCGTAGGGTGTTTAATATCGAGTATGGTGTCCGCGGGCATTAATTACGGCCTGGCATCGCCGCCGCATGCTGCTGATGAGCCTGCGGACCTTGTGATGAGGAATCTGGGCCCATTCCTCTATGATTGCATGTCTAAGCTCCTGAGCTGTTGTTGGTTGGACGTGGCGTGAAGAATGACTTGCAGCATATCCCAAGCATGCTCAATTGGATTTAAATCCGGGAACCTCGCTGGCCAATCCATGCGAACTATAGTTGCCTCCTCAAAATATCGGTTTGTGATGAGGGCTCTGTGTGCACGGGCGTTGTCATCCATAAGAATGAAATAAGGGCTGACTGCGCCAGCGTACGTGCGTACTTAGACGTCTAACACCTTACTGCCGTCAGTGTACCGTTTTCAATGATGTGTAGGTCAGTTTTCCATTGAGCGCTTATTCCGCCCACACCATGACTGAACCCCCGCCAAAACGGTCGTGTTCTTCAACGCATGGTGGAGCTAAGCGCTCATTTGGACTTCTCCATACCCTAACCCGTCTGTCCGTAAAGTCATCACAAAACCTTGACTCATCAGTGAAGAGGACAGGGGTCCAATCATTAACTGTCCATGTAACATGAGTCTACGTCCATTACAAACGCTCTTGAATATGGCGTTGTGTCAAAGGAATGCGAATTGCTGGCCTCCGTGACCTCAACCCAGCATCATGCAACCTGTTTCTAACAGTTCGTGTGCTTACACTCACACCAGTTGCATTCTAGAAGTCGTTACGTAAGGTCGTAGCGTTCGAGAACCGTTGGCGCCTGGCCTGAAGGACATTAAATCGGTCCCGACCCTCGACGTGGCCCTGCAAGACATTTCCAGTCATTTGGAATTGGTTCCACATCCTGGAGACAACGCTCTGTGATACCCCAAGGACATGGGCAACGTGCCTTTGTGAACGGCCAGCCTCCAACATTCCAATACCCCTGTTCATCTCATCTTCATTAAGACGACGTCTAACCTGTCAATTTGCCATAGTTTGTTAATTTCGAACAGAGTTTTACAATAAAACGAGAGAAGTATTGCTGCTTGTACACGTTTAAGTGAAAGCACATGACCATAAAACACCAAATTCCATGGGTATACTTTTCCACGTGCTAATCGTGCAAGGTGTAATGACAAATCGATAACTTAAGTACACGATTATGAGGTCCCCGTACAGATGTATCGTTAGCAGAAATATGATTTTAATACGATGATAATAGGACTGAAATATGCAATGTCAAAAAGGCGATCCTTAGCAAATTTTGAGTTGTATATATTCCCGTATTGTTAAGTAATGTGATAAACAACCAACATATAAGAAGGAAAGCCGTATTGATCAGCATTTGTGGCCATCTTCATTTCTATAAAGAAATGAGTCTGTGCCAACGAATTATTTGTTATCAATATTAATTCTTAATTATTTTTAATATTATAATTTTGCATTTGCCCACAGGAAAATGTTTGTTTTCCGTATTATGACGAAGATACGTATAAAGCACAGCGTCTTGGATACACTGGTCGTGGGGTAACTGTAGCTGTGGTGGATAACGGCGTCAACGTTAATCATCCTGATTTAACGAATTCTTCCGTAAGTTATCTTAGCTTTTTCTGGATCCATACTGGTCGTAAACGCGCTATGTTGGTTTTGTCATAGCGCGTCTCATTAATATTTATAGAAAGAACGTGTGTCACGAATTTGCTCTAATGTTACGGCAAACGACGTGACAGTTAATATCTAAAGCGCGTTGTTTAAAAGCCGGTTAAAACCGTGTTGCTTGTAGTCTATATCTAGAATATTCGCATCTTTTTAAGAATACGAACAATATGGCACTAGCTAGCATGTACTTTTCATGTATCTTTGACCTATAAAATTATATCATGTGAAATATATATTTCAGTTTTAAAAATGACACAGAATGGAACAAATGTGATAAACTCATCATCAAAAATTTTAAAATCTTTATTTAAAAATTCTTTTCATTTAAGGAAAAATTCTATAACATAAATTTAGTTTTAGCATGCATTTATTTCACTTGTTTAAGGATATCTACAAATCTAAAAGCTTTGTTGCAACAAACAACATTTTACCAACAAAACTGCATAACTACAAGGAATACGACAAGATAGTAAGGTAATATAAAAATATTTTACCGAAATTATCCATGACTTCAATCACATGTCCGTGCCCGTAAAAGCGATATTGCGCGGCCTTGCAAATGTATTAACCAAACGTGCATTGTGCAAAGCATTATACAAATAGCGAAAAGTCAAGCGAAATGTTAATGCAACAGTACCAGCCCTTGAGTGAAAAAGGTGATAGTTTTATTTTACTGTAAACATTTTCTTATTTTCAGTGAGTGATACATCATAAAACATGGAATGTTATACACGTTATATTCGTTTAGCCTTTAAATTTTAATTCATTGAACTTTATTTTACTGTAAACTATTTCTTATTTTCGTCGAGTGATACATGGAATGATATATATTCTTTTAGACTCATATTTTTATTCATTGAACTGTCTGAAGAAGAAAAAATATGCTTTTGAGAAGCCCGCAAGATATTTTATTCAACTCCTTCGGTAAATTCAGTATGAACCAGTTATCGAACTCCTTGTGTATGATTATTGTTTGTAGTTTTGGAACTATGTAACTATTAGTAGCAAACATATGATGTTCTTTGTTTGTGATCATGGAACTATAGCTATTATTTGTAGTAACAGACATATAATGGTGTTTGTTTGTAGCCATGGAACTATAGGTATTATTTGTAGTACCAGACATAAAATGGTGTTTATTTATTTGTAGTCATGGAACTATGGTTGCCGGTCTTATTGCAGGACAAACTAACAACAAATCATGTACAGCAGGCATTGCACAAAATACAAAGATAGTCGGTAAGCATCAGTATTATGATTGTTGTATTTTCAAAAATAAGTAAACATGGCCATTCATAATAGAATTATAGTTGATACCGTGAAATTTACAATTAATGTCTAACAAATGCTAAATTTTATAATATATATAATATATATATATATATCAACATTGAAGACAATTGCAATGTATTTAGAATTATTTAAATCACAAATTATCATGGTAAAAAGATATTATAGAGGATATTTGTATGTTAATGTGTAAGATGAAATTTTATTTCATAAAACAATATTCTCACGAGTGAGAATACTGTTTTTTAAAGTTCATGAGATGAAATAAAATTACACCTTACACAACAAACAAACACAATTTCTTTTTATTTTATGCTTAAAACAAGTTTAAATGAAGTTTCCTCAATATTAACTATATTTTTAAATCTGTTTTCCCCATTAGTAGCCTTATTTTAGTCAATTTACAAAAAGTCTTAAGCTGAAAATTAAGTTCGACAATCAACGTTAAATTGCGGTGATATTATGTATTTTATTCCAATTACATGAATAATCCCTTTTTTTTTAAAAAAAATAAAAACAATTCTAGTAGAAAAAAGTCACACCATCCGACCTTATTTCCGTTACTTAAGGCGAATTTATATTAGACCAGGCTTTGAGTATATCGGCCGCTATTTTTAAAAGTTGTGTATTTCACGGGAGGAAAATAATTGTGTTTCATTCAGATGGATATAATTTGGATTTGTTAATCATACATCTGTTTATAAGAAAGGAAACTTATTTGAGATTGTTACAGACAATTAATAATTATTGGCAGATGTTAACATTCAAAATTGAAAGGCTGTCTTACGAACGATGGGTTGTTTACTTATTCTTCGGGCTGATGACTGTCATTGTTTTTGCAATAGGCAGTTATTACTCGTAGACTACTTAAATGTGCCCAAAAGTATCCAAGAGCAGTTTTGAATATGGAAGGAAGTGTAGTTTTCAGATTGTAAAAATGAAACAAACATTTGGAGACGATATTTGTTGATTGGTAATTTGAATGAATTAAAGCAAGTTTTTCCTTTTAATTATTTTTGAAATTAAAGTTATTTATCAATTCCATCTTTGCTTTTCTCTAAACAGCCCCGACAATGTCAGAATTGTCAGCAAAAATAAATTAAAGTACCACATGGGGAAAATCTTAAAAAAGTAGTCTCGTCATTGAATGGTGTGAAATTATATTTCGATAATTTTCGCTATGAAATTATCAAATATAATGTTCACGGATAAATCAGTTATCCATTCAAAAACATAAAATAAAATGCAATAAAGTCATAAAACCTTTCTCATGATACAATATTATGCATATCACTTTAAAGAAAAAAGAGCATTTAAAACACTATATAATAATATCAAGGTAAGTTTATCAACGGAATTTAAGTGGTTTGTGGTTTGTCGGACTCTACACATGGGTATTTGCCGTTTTCTAAAAGAAGATTTTGGTTACTTACTTCACAATTTATTTCTCTGACAAGTTGAGTTTTTGGTTTATTCTCAGTCTCAAAATCATGAAAGCTCTGATATTGTCTCTTGTCTCACTTTATAGTATAAAGGACAGTCTTATCAGTACATGTTTCCATATTCAATAACATTTATGCCTAAACTGTTACAATAATTACATTTTCTTAACTCAAGAAGTGTACTTAGTTAATGTTAATTGGAGCAGTTACACTTCTAAATGTTGCTAAGGACCCTCTATAATTCATATTATACACTTGAAGACAGTAAGGTTCAACTTCATATATTTGCTTGAAAGTTCTATACAACTTTAATTTATTTTACTATGATTCATCGTTGGATACCCACGGTTGATTAACATGTTACATCACATGTATGAAATGTTAATGGTCTGTGGGTTTCCGACTATGATCAAACAATTTTGTTAAGGCGGGGTCACAGAGCTAAAAATATGCACTTTTCATTCCAGTACTGAACGTGGTCGAAGGAAATAAAGATTTTTTAGGCATGGGGTTCACATTCAATGATGACCATGTGCCGTCAGCTCTTGAATATCTTAGAAATGAAATAGATATATACTCGTGTAGTTTTTCAAACAGTGTAATGTTTGAGAAACAATCGTTGCAGACGAAAGTTGTTCTAAGAGAAGGAGCAGAATATTTAAGTGTTTTTATTTGTTTCTGTTTAGTTTATTTTCTTTTGTTTATTTTTTTTAATTTCATAGCGTGATACATTTGAAAATATTGGTTTAACATTGTAAGTCGTTTAGAAAAAACAGTACGTGGTTTATACGTCAGTATTCTTTGCCCTACGTTTTGTCCAATAAGAAACCCTATATCTAAATACCAAAAATTCTGACAGTCTGTAATGTTCACAATAGTTTTTTTTTATTTAAACGTCGCGTCTATCTGGATAAACACAACGCGTTCCTGAAAAAAGTAGGTCAACGACATATTTACACGCCATATCTCTATGACGTATTTTTTACTTACAGGGTCGTTACGGTAAAGGAAATATTTTTGTTTTTTCTTCTGGTAACAAGGGACGAGATGTAGGTATATATGACTGTAATGGAAGCGGATACTCTAACAGTATATACACAGTTACTATTTCAAGTGTAGGATCACGTGGTACAGTGCCAAAGTATGCAATTCCATGCTCGTGCGCGTTAGCATCAACATTTGGAGACACGAGGTCATCTGGAGATGAACCTTTGGTAGTAGCTTACGATGTTTTCTTTATATTCTACAGTAGCATTCATGAGAATTAATCAGGATATTTCGTATACAGGACTGATGTAGCCTAAAATCGGTATAACTATGACCCCTGTTTTAGCTGTATAAGGTCATATCGGGAGCGATCATCACTTTTGCTAGTATGGTCTTTATCTAAATTAACTTTTGATATGCAGTTGACTTGTGTGGACATCAAAACGGATATAATGTCGACCCGATCAAAATTTAAATATTTTTTTTTTTTATATTTTTCCTCAAAAGTCTTAATTAGCTAACCAATATCTTTAATATTTTGTACGAAATACTTACTGTACATGAACATGTCACCAACTAACTACATGTAGTTTTGGTTTGAAGTCGATCGGTAAGGGTCACAAAACTGTTCTTCTCCCCAAAGTCTTAACAATATTTAAGCATTGTCAACTCAGCTACGAAAGCAGAAAAAAAACATTGTTTCCAATTTCTCTCACACAATTTTCCAGATGTCGACAGCATTGGGTGAAGGTTTTGGATATTTTACCGGCACTTCAGCGGCTGCTGCCAAAGCATCGGCTTTAATTGCAATGACACTGGAGGCCAGGTATTGTGTCTTACATATAATCATTTTAACCACTGATCGATTTACTTCAGATTGCCTTTTGTGTAAAGACAAACTGTCATTCAAAGGTTAGTCTAACGTTATGTTATCAACTCATCAATTACAATTAGAGTTTTAATGTCCCATCCATGACAACTAACATTGCCATTTATATCTGTAAAATACCCGGTGCCATGTTATTCCCTGCGGTCTGGAGACCGCAGGGTATTGGTACGCGTTTAACTTTTGAGGCATGGAGGAGCACGTGACCTGTTTTCGGTACACGGAGGAGCATGTGATCTATAAACCGTACATGATTGGTTAATTGACCTTTTCGAAAACCTAGCTAAATACCGTTTGCCGGTACGTTACGGATTTACCTATTGGGAATTAGTCCGAATTACACATACATGTAATTAAGAACAAAAAACTATAACATACGTGATATTTCTAATTTTCTATAATTATTTTACCGTTTTAGGTGGAAAACTTGAATGATGTGTTTGAAAATTATCAATGTTCTTTAATATCTGTCTCAAATTTTACAAACAATCAATTGTTTATACTGAAAATCTACAAAATTAAAATATTCGTAGTGGCATCTGCCATAATAAATATAGATATTTTCTGCGTGAACTTGTGTGTTTACTTTATTTTATTTTATTTTTGCTCGGAATTATTCATAAAATGGTAGGCTTATTTAATCATTTTCTAAAAAGAAATAATTGTTTTATGTTCGACCTTCTCCGGTCTTCAACGGTCACCAGTTTCGAAAGACCTTCTTCAATATTGATCGATTATTGTCAACTATATTCCTGATACAAATGTGGAAAATAGTTAAATGAAATATCTTTATATCATTAAAACATTAAAAATGTTCCCCGCAGGAAACCATTTTACTTGTTTAGTATTTGGAATCTATTTAAAACCAGGTACTAAGAATGTGCTGACTATGTAAAGTACTTACAATATAATAATACTTATAATGTGAGTATATATAATAACAATTTAACACACTAATAACCACTTGGTGAGAGCATGCTTTAAGATTGAATCAATTTCAGACCATCTTTAACCTGGGAAGATATACAGCAAATTATCGTGTTTTCTTCTTCGTTTTCGGGTCTTGAGCGCAAGGGTGAGAAGAACGGTGCGGGGTTATTATGTAAGTATAATATGGAACATTTCATAACATTATTGCTTGAAACTGTTTTGAACTTCTGTAAACTTTTAACATAAGCTTGTTTTATTTTTATTGTGTGATATGGTTGATAAAGATAAAGATATAATAAACGTAAACTTAGAGATTATAATAATGAATTTAGAACTGATTACCACATTCTTGTTAAATATTGGTGCAATGTAAGCTAAACACACAACATTTTGTATTCAGATGATCCATATTTCGGTTTCGGATTAATGAACGCTACAGCCATGATTCAACTAGCGAAAGATTGGACATCATATCAGCGAATGAACGTCACAGTTAAATTCACTACAAAACAGAATAAAATGCGAGTATCTATTTTCTTGAATCTATGCAAAGCATTGCTAAATATTATGAGGTAAAAATAGCATTGATAATAAATATGATGATGATAATAATAATAAACAGTTCAGTTTTATTAAGCAAACCGGCATAATATCATTTGGCCAATTTAACGATTGTATAGTGAAGAATGATAATAACATTAACAATAATGATGTTGCAGCTGCTGCTGATGAGGATAATAATAATAAGAAAAAAGAAGCAAATCAAACAATAAGACATGGGAAAAAGAATCTATATCATTTAATATAACAAAAATTTTCTTATGTTGAGGATAACTTGTTTGTTTGGTGTTGTTGTTTTTGTTGTTGTTGTTTTTAGGGGATGTGGATTGTTGTTTTATCATTTTTAAATTATATTTCAGGAACAATAAGAGATCTTTTCAATATTCACAGAAGAGTACACAGAAAAGTTGTTTATCATACATAGAGCACGTTGTTGCACACATAGAGTACATCCATACTGCAGACAGGATCCCAGTCATCACGCTCTGTTCACCACAAAAAACATGCTCGATACTCTTGCATGGCAATTTACGGAATGGGGACGGAAAAGAGAAGCTTACAGATAATAGCGAAATCATAATATCGTGGGACTTTATGAGTGTACAATTTTGGGGAGAAAATCCAGTCGGTAGATGGAGTCTTGAAATATCAAATTCTGGTATGAAGTGACCTGTTTTGAAAATTATGAAGGAATGGAATGATAAAGATAAAAGCTAAACAGTCATTCCCTTAATCTGTGTCAAGCTCACTATTTAGTTAGTTGATGATAAAATGTGATGCTACAATGCATTCGATATCTTCCAAAATACACGACTCCAACAATTTTGCGTAACATTTAAATATTTTATTGGAAATAAAATAAATTTAATTGAGTGTGTAAAACCAACTTATTTTACTGGTTGCTTTTTTATTCTGGGTCAATATCTTTTTTAAATAACAGAAAATGGAATCAAATCATAACCGTTTTTGTTTGGATTGTATTATAATTAATGCATGACTGTTTCATAATTTAAAAAATTTAATTTGGGAACGCTTCAAACAGGATTAAATTTTATTAATTGAGACGATTTGTACAGTATATGTAAACCCAATATCTTGATATTTTCACGATCAAAAAAATTATTTTATTGTAATATTTTCATGTCAAGAGCTTATCTTTTTTCTATTGCAACAGACGGGCATACATTTATAAAGAACGTTTCTGTGACTTTCTATGGAACCTATGACCTTCCATTCTCAAAGAATTTTAACTTGACATTCAGGCGCCAACGTAAAAGAGCTAGATGTGCCGTAGATAGTAAGAACGGTCCGTCAAGACCTTCGACTGAAGAATCATCAGATGGTACAAATCTAAAGACATATTTGCCAATTTTTGTTCCAGTCGGTGCAATCCTCTGTATTGTAATAATGGTAGTTATTGCGATTTTTTTTAGGAAGACAGAAAAACTAAAAGTATCAAGTGCTGGACACAAAATTGAGCAAACAGATACTTTAATGAAAGACTATGCCATACCTCAGTAACTTTTAATGACAATAAAAATCAGGCAGAAATGAAGTGGATTAGATAAAACTACATTTTGACTTAAGTTCTATGCTCTTTTACAGTCTTTGCTGTTTGCCATCCTGATCATAATAGAATAAAAAAACATCACGGTAAAATTCCTAATATTGAAAGCATTATAACGCTGAAAATATTGTATTTTGCAGTGAAAAAAAAACGCGTAAAATATGTCTTGTTTTCAAACTTTATGTTTTCTTCAGAACAGAAAATTAGAATATAATGCTTACAAGTGTCGTATATTACGCAATGCTTAGCTTCATTTATTCGTGACAAGCCTGAAAAAATTTATTATAGGAGACACTTGTTTGGTATTCTATTTATTATGTTTTAGTTTAAAATTTTAATTTGGGTAGCTTTTTTAAATAACAAAAACCTCTCGAGTTCATACCGCACGCAACAATAAGCACATTAATAGACCTTATGGTCATATCAATAAGAAAAAGTCCCGAATGTTTCTGTCAATTTCATAAGAGACTTTAACATTATTTTTTTCGGTTTAGAAAACAACATTTTGATATTTTCAAAATAACATAGTTTATTTTATGCTTTTCAGTGGATTACTGATTTATCCGTGAAAATAATATTTGATAATTTCACAGTGAAAATTATCAAAATATAATTTCACCTTTTTCAATGACAAAACTACTTTTTCAAGATATTCCCATTGTGGTACCTCATTTTATTTTTACTGACAATTCTGACAATATCAGGCTGTTAAAAAAAATAGCAAAGCTGAAAAAGATAAATAACTTAAATGTCAAAGTAATAAAGAGAGAAAACTTACTTCTATTCCTTCAAATTCCAATCACAAAATTTCGTCTCTAAATTTTTTTGTTTCGTTTTTACAGTCTGAAAATACATTCCTTCCCCATGCTAAACTGCTCTTGATGACATTTGGGCATATTTAAGTATCCTACCAGCAATAACTGCCGTATGCTTTATGATAAATTGAAAAGCATTGATAGCCATCACTCGTAAAATAAGTAAAACAACCCAGCGTTCCTTACAATGCCTTAGCAAGCTTCCAAGTTTTCCATTTTCCTAGCTCCTTTTCTGAATGTTTTCACTTCTGTCAACACTTATTTTTTGTCTGTTACAATCCTCAAATAAGTTTTCTTTCTTTTAAAAAGGTGTATGACTAACAAATCCAAATTATATCCTTCTGAATCTTACACAATTATTTTCCTCCCATGAAATACACAACTTTTTTAAAAATGGCTGCCGCTTACATTTTACAAAGCCAGGTCTAAGATAAATTCGCAGTAAGTAACAGAAATATGGATGGATGGTTGGACTTTTTCTCCTACAAGAATTGTTTGTTTTTTTTATTTCAACAAGCGATCATTCATATCTTTTTAATAAAATGAATAAATATCACCGTCATTTAACCATGATTGGCGGACTTATTTCTCAGCTCAAGACTTCTTGTTTTTAATGAGAAATTCCCTCTGAATGGGGCTCTCAATGGGGGAAACAGATTTTAATATTAACGTTAAAATTATGGAAATTTCGTTTTAACTTGTTTTAAAGCATAAAATAAAAAGAAAATTTGTCTGTTTGTTGTGTAAGATGTAATTTTATTTCATCTCGTGAACTTTAAAAACAGTATTCTCACTTGTGGCTACTCGATGAAATAAAATTTCATCTAACACACAAACAAACAAATATCCTCTATATAATATTCCATTTTCTTCATTTTATTCCAATCTGTATTGATCAGTCGTCTGATAAATTGGTGTGACAGATATAAAGATAAATTTATCAGATATGCAGTTTATCAACATATATTAATGTGATCACATGATGAATATATATATATATATATATATATACTTGTATTTATGATGAACACAGGAGTATATATATATATATATATATATAGAAATGAGAGAATATATACACACATACCACCACATCGATATGCCAGTCCAATTACGGCACAGCGCCTAGCAGAACAGTCATGAAAGCATAGCCACTGCTCATCCACCATCACAAAAATGATGGTTTCAGAACAGCTTTATATACAGTCACAAACTGCACTACACATTGAAACAAGCTCAACATTCACATATATAGAGTTTGTTCTCTGTTAACATATCTCACAAATCAACGATGACATTTTTATTGTCTTCTTCACTGATTGGGACCAGAGAACTATATATCTATTTCCGAAAGTCAACTGGATCACGTAAGATCAAGTAGATCCGTAGGATACAATGAATTTAGACAGATAAAGTATATATAAAGGGAGATAATTAAATTCAATACAGTTATACTTTCCCCTGCGTGGGATCACTTAAGATACAAGTGTGCAGATAAATTGATAGAAATGAGAGAATATATACACACATACCACCACATCGATATGCCAGTCCAATTACGGCACAGCGCCTAGCAGAACAGTCATGAAAGCATAGCCACTGCTCATATATGTGTGTATATATTCTCTCATTTCTATCAATTTATCTGCACACTTGTATCTTAAGTGATCCCACGCAGGGAAAGTATAACTATATATATATATATATATATATATATATATATATATATATATATATATATATATATATATATATATATATATATACATGTATATATAAGTTACAGCACTATAACTAATAATTGATTTTGATTCGTTAAACGTTAAATATCATATACTTTTACGTACAATAAAGTAAAAGTATAGCCCACACATTGCACGTTCCATTGTTTTTGATGTTTGTCCCTATGCTAATTTTGATAAAATGTTATTAGAAATCATCACATTTTTCTCTATAATCTCTTCTTCAATGATATATGAGTGTTGTAGGCCGAAGAGAAGCTCCTCTTTCGCATTCCCTGCAAATTGGTTACATAAAAATGCCGGTAATCCTCTGAAAGAATCCTTCAGCGAGTATAAAGGTGGCCGCAAACACCCTAAAGCCTGTAGTACAAGTAGACAAACAATAAAGTTGATGAATCAAAACATTCGTATCCAAAAAATATGTATCTCCGTCATTTACTCATCTCTATAAATTAAAAAAGGCAAATTTTTAGTTACGAATTGTTGAAATATTAGCTACGTTTAAACACAATAAATTAAATTTCTTAAGATAGCTTTACATTTAAGATGACAATTTGTTCGTGTATAATTGTTGAATTTTGCTTAAGACTCTGACAAGGTGGGCGCATTAACTGCAGTAAATTAGTTGTTGTCCACAAACAGGTTCGAGCAAGTCGAATTTGCAACATTTGCAAGATTGCCGAATTGGTCGAAGACATTCATGGGTCCACTTCAATTACTTGTAAGGCAATGTAGCGGGAAACGTCTTAACTTACTGTGTTTCTTAAATAGACTTGTTGCCCATTTCATGAGAAACTATCCAGTATCAATTTCCGGGATATCAAGATGTAAATAAAGTTTGCTAGCCTAAGATATGTAGACTAGCCCGGCTATACTGGTGATAAAAGCATATCATTGTTTAGTCCAGTATGGTAAGTGTTAGTCACGTTTAGATACATGGAACCGGTATAAAATACAAAACATAACAAACAGAGGAAAATGTGGAATGTGTACAAAACTGTCATGACCACCTTGGTGATATAGCAAGTATACTATGCATGTATTCAGTAGCTAGTAAACAGTTATTTTGTAAATTACTTCAATATCGTACTTTTTATAATATGATAATATGGACGTATATAAGTTTTAAATTCGATTAATAAACAAGAACAGACATTTCAACGTAATTTACAAGACATCGAGCAATATGCCTACTATATGTGGGATAAGACAAAGGGAAACTTGTTTGAATGCTTTTCAAAAAAGGTTACATCAGTTATTGCTAACATACTCGTGAAGTAAACTTGTAGTGGCGCTGTACCAATACAGGTCCATATCAATATTAATTAAATGATTAAGCTAGACTTACCTGTAAGGTGAAGGTTAATCATGATTTCATCCACATAAAACTCACTAAGGGCTCACACAGAGAGAAGACGCAGCTATCAGCAGCCAGTGGTCATATTTTAGAGTAAGTAATGCCGAATAATATCGCAAAAATATCAGTTTAAACGGGGAGGTAGCGGGTTGGGTGTGTGAGCCCTTAGTGAGTTTTATGTGGATGAAATCATGATTAACCTTCACCTTACAGGTAAGTCTAGCTTAATCATTTAATTTCATCCTACATATAAACTCACTAATGGGCCCCACAGAGATTTTAGAGTCCTTTTTGCGATATTTTGGAAAGGACATTACGTGCCATCCAACGCCATAGTAAATATTTATCTTTCATGTTATTATGAAGAACAACGATTTAATTTCAAGACATAAAGGTCTTTTTGTATTCTGCAATTCGGTAAAAACACATGTTTTTCATATTTTTACAGAATATAAATGCCATGCACAACTATATAGAAAGTAATTAAATATAGCTATAATTATTATTATCACTACAGTTTTTTTTTTTTTTTTTTTGTCCCATTATTATACACTCTAATTAGCAATATCTATGATAGCCTGCATAGATTTTCCATTGGTATTTGATACTGGTTTATCATAATATTTAGCGAATGTCTTAGCATTGCTCCATCCCGCTGATTCAATTATCGTCTGTAACGGGACTCCACGCATGTGTGCGATTGAAGACGCAGCAGCGCGCGTGCTATGTGGTTTGAATGATTTATGCACCCCAGCTCTGTGCATAATTAGCTTAATCCAGCGACAAATTGTTTGTTTTGAAACGGCCCCATGAGGCTTGACCGTTGATATCAGTAATTTATTGGTATTTCTGAGGTCTTTCGTTCTCTGTAAATACTCACTAATGACGCTGACAATACACAAGCGTTTATCTGATTTAAAACTGTCAAACAAAAAGGGTGTCTGATGCCGACCAGGTTTCGATGTTTTTAATAAATGTGGAGTGTTTATTATCAATCTTTCGTCTGAAATATTAATGTCTTCCAAACAAATGAGATGGAGTGTTTGACACCGCTGAGCTGACAACAATAAAAACAACATGCTTAATTTTCCAGCCAAAAATAATAATGTATCATTTTCTGTTTTTGATAAAAAATCTAAAACTGTTCGCACATCCCATATCTCTTTATATCTCGGAAGTGCCGGCCTTGTGTTAAATACACCTTTCATGAACCGTGATATCAGGTTATTATTGCTGAGATCTACGTTTGAAATTATCTTAACAAACCCACAAATTGCTGATCTGGCAATACCAATCGCACTGTAGGTTATCCCTTTTGAATATAGGTGAGACAAAAATGCTATCACTGTTGCTACAAGGGGTTTAAAGGGATCGTGTTTCCCTTCACAGAAATGAAACCATTGTTTAAGATATGTTTGATACTGTTTCCTGGTTGTTCTCCGCCACGAATTAATGATAATCTGCTGAGCTTCATTTGAAATCCCTCTATTTTCAAGCGCTTTCCTGATAAGGGAAAAAGCGCCAGCCTCATCTTTGTTAATGGGTGTTTCTTTCCCGGTCGATGGCACAACGTAAGGATGTCCTGAGGGTGCTGAAGTAGAAGGCATGGTGCAACAATAAGTTGTATTAATGTCGGCCACCATGTCTGTGCAGGCCATATTGGTGCTACTAAACACAGTAGTTCTGTTTGATCTATTTCTACTTTTTGCAGGACCCTGCCTATTACACTGAAAGGTGGAAAACAATAATAACAATTATCATGCCATGAGAATGAAAAAGCGTCTATAGCAAAAGCATTTGGGTCAGGTTGTCTTGAAACATACGTCGGAAACTTGTTATTTAAGCGAGATGCAAATAAATCTATATTTAAGGACGGGAAAGACCGACAAATTGCTGTGAACATCTCAGGTGATATACTCCATTCTAAATCTTCATTTCCAGTACGACTCAGTTTGTCTGCCGTGCGGTTCAATGACCCCGATACATGATGTGCTGACAACAAAATGTTTCTTTGAATACACCAATGCCAGATATCGCGCGCAATTTTATTCAATGAATCTATTCTTCCCCCGTAATTATTTATGTATGATACACTCGTAGTGTTATCCATATAAATTTTTATATAGATATTTCTGTTGTGTTTAAAAAGCGACAATAGCCCAACTTGACACGCTTTTAATTCTAACACATTGATATGTTGATTTTGTTCTTCCGCCGACCAAAAACCATTTGTTCGTCTATTTTCTGTTTTATCATACGCGCCCCACATATGTCCCGAAGAATCAGTAAACATAATGTTATTCGGGTCAGGCGATGTAATACTTTTGAAACATGAATGTATATGAGTGATCCACCATCGCAAATTTTCCAAAATATCTGGCGTGATTGTAAAAAAACTATTAAAATTACCCTTATGGTTTTTCAGTTCCCTTTCCTTATGTCGTTCTAAAGGTTTTATGTACAACGGAGCATGCATAACCCCCGGTGATGCTGCAACCAGTTTTCCAATAATCTTTGAAAATTTTTGAATTGTTATTCGCCGGCATGTTATTATGTTATTGCAAAGCTCTGTGATATCATCACATTTTTCCTTTGTTAATCTTATTGTCATTGTTTTAGAGCACAGCACAAATCCCAAAAATACAATCTTTTTCGACGGAACCAGGACAGATTTACCCATTGAAATTGTAAATCCTAACTTGTCTAATAAATCAATTGTTTCGCTGATATTTCGAGCACAGGCGGAGTATGACTGACCTTGCAAACATGCGTCGTCGATGTAAATTGAACTTAAATGACCCCGCGCTCTTAAATGAGAAAAAACTGGCTTCATCAGTTTAGTGAATATCATAGGGCTTTTTGCAAATCCCATCACAAGCGCTGTAAATTGATATTTTACACCTTCGAAAAAGAAACGAAAATACCGTCTGTCCCGTTCGTATATAGGTATAGTGTAAAAAGCATCAGAAATGTCGACCTTGCCGAAATAACAATTTTTCCTCATTGCTGTGGTCACTGACCCCAAAGTTTCCATTTTAAAATGTATTTTGCTGACGTAGTTGCTATTGAAAGATTTTAAATTCAAAATAATTCTAATCCGTCCGTCTGATTTTGGTCTTGTGAATATATTCGAAATGTATTCTCCGTCCAAGTTTTCGTCTGCAAGTTCTATTATTCCTTGATTTAAAAACCGTGTAATTTCAAACTGTATTGCTTGTTTTTCGTTTTCTTTAAAATTAAATGGTTTTGGAATTTTATACTGAAAAGGAGTTGCTGACAGCTGTACCCGATAACCGTCTACAGTTTCTAGTATCCATTTATCTTTGGTTATTTTTCTCCACTCATTCAACGCCATTCTGGTCTTCCCCGCCCGAAAATTCTGTGAAGTATTTATAATGGTAGAGGAATATTTCATATTATGATTACTTACTTCGGATATTAATTTTTCTGTGCTCTTGATTGGAAAGTATTCTTTTTCTGCTGTTTTGTTCTGTAATTGTGATTTTGACGTCGTCGCTGTAGATTGAAATTCATGTTGCCCTGTGAATTGAGCGCATGTTTCCGTTTGTGCTGAGGTACCAGGGTCGCCATGCCCTGGCGTTTCCCTAAAAAAGAACGCCTGGAAGTACATGTAAGTTGCTGCTTATTGTCCCTTAACTTTTTAAGTTCTTCATCTACTTTATCGCCAAACAGATGAGTGGCAGATTGGTTTGCTGAACAAATTGGCCTATAAAGCGGCAGAAGTTCTTTCTTTATCCTGTCACGTCTCATCTGAGAAGTAGTGACAAAAGCATTGGTTAACAGTTTGAAAGTATCCCCAATCAACTCTTTCATTTTTGGTCGTCCATCTGTCTTTAACTCATCCATGGTCTTCAATACCGGTACCAAAGCAGACGAAAAAAATTTCTGTGTCCTCTGCAACAGAAAATCCTGTGCTTTAACTTGAGATGGCAACTGTCGCCACAACTGCTCATTCACCAAAGGTACTTGTAGAAATTCTACATTGTTAGGCCTCTTGTGTGTGTCCAAAAGTTCCTTTATTTTTTCTTCTTTGGGTTGTACCTGCAAAGCTTTATTGCTCAAAGTGGCTAGTTTGTCACTTATCGCCGCTCCTGTTTCTGAGGCATCCTCGAAGAAATCCACCATGCAGAATTCATCATCATCATCATCATCATCATCATTTCCGTCGGTGACCCCAGATTCGGTGAAAAAATCTCCCACGCTTTCGTGATCTGAGCCTGAATCATCCCTCGTGCAAAAACGTTTCGAAGTTGATGTTTCTTCGCAGGTAACTGCAGTTCTTTTCAAAGAATTTACGTCAGACCTCATTTCAGTCAGAGAATCCGTTAAACCTTTTATTGCATTTTGGATGTCTTCTAACTGACTAGAAGATCCTGCAAGTGTCCCGAATTTTTCAAATATATTGGGAATATTGGACTGGTTGTTTCCGACCTCTTGATCGTCGGCCATGATCCTGAAAAATGTTTTTTAAACATTTCTAGCAGCAGTCCATTTAAGCAATAAAATGAAGAAGAAACATATATAAACGATTAGAATTTAATCGCAGTCAGGCGTAAATAACGCCGTCAAATAGATATCTACATAAATCATTAATTCGTCCCTCTGTGATATGCAAGACGCCTGATTTTTTTTTTTTTTTTTTTTTTTTTTTATTATTATTATTATTATTATTATTATTATTATTATTATGTATGTCATGTTGCATGAACACGCCCTATTGCAAACAAATATATAATTTGTCTGTAATGTTCAGACCATTTTAGCTTTTCCATGGTGTTTGGATAAGCATAATTACGAACAAATGTATCTTTTGTCTGTGGTGTTCAGACAGTTTTAGCTTTTCCATGGTGTTTGGATAAGCATGATTTCATTACGAACAAATGAGTCTTTTGTCTGTGGTGTTCAGACAGTTTTAGCTTTTCCATGGTGTTTGGATAAGCATGATTTCATTACGAACAAATGAGTCTTTTGTCTGTGGTGTTCAGACAATTTTTGCTTTTCCATGGTGTTTGGATAAGCATGATTACGAACACTGTATCTTGTTTTGCCTGTGGTGTTCAGACATTTTTTTTTTTTTTTTTTTTCGTATTTGGCAGCAGTGTTCAGACAAAATTGGCTAATAAATATTGTTGTTATAAAATGTATAACTACAAATGTATATATTGTCTGTGGTGTTCAGACATCAAACATATACGAGGTTTTTTTTTTTTTTTTTTTTTTTTTTTTTTTTTTTTTTTTTTTTTTTTTTTTTTGACAAAAAATTAAACGATTTTAAGTATAAACTTAAAATAAATATATACAAATAAATTAAACATACCTCTTATCACACTTTTCTTAACTGCTTAATTAATATCCACAAATGAAACACTTGTTAGTCCTAAATAATTACACTATAATAATTTAAACTTGTGAAAAATACGACAGGCTTTACTTTAATTAAGAACAATTATACGTCTTGACCGTAGCTGCTAATGCCTCGTTATGACCACTGGCTGCTGATAGCTGCGTCTTCTCTCTGTGGGGCCCATTAGTGAGTTTATATGTAGGATGAAATATTAATAATGTGTTGTACCTAGTAAAGTGATGTAAAAAAACAAGGACCATACCTCCACACCAAATTCCTGCGCATGAATACAGTTACTTTCGATAGTTTTCAGGTTTTCTAGCGTTACTTCCTTAACAAAAAAATGCAAAACGAATTTCTTGACTTTATGAAGATATGTCACAGCGTAATCTGTCTCCTTGAATCCAAATTCACTGATATCTAGTCCAAGTTCCTCCTTCAACTCACGATTTAGACCAACAATTGTCTTTTCTCCATTGTTGATATGTCCTCCGGGAAAACCGAAGCGTCCATCGAATCGCATTTGCATCTGTGCCAACAAAACAATTTATATGGATATAATGTAAGAATTTTTTCTCGCGATGAAACTGTGAAATGAAAAAGAGGGCCATGATGGCCCTGAGGTCGCTCACCTGTATAAAGGCACCCGGAGCGGGGCCAGATAAAACCCCAGGGCTTTTATTTGAACAAACTTCGAAGACACCCATTAGAAGATGTTTCATGATGTTAAGTTTTTACTACACACATATAATGAAAAACAACAATCTATTCCCCCCCCCCCCTTCCCCCCTTCCCCGGCAGGGCCAATTTTAACCCAAGGCCTTTTATTTGAACAAACTTGGTAAACACCCATAAGAAGATGTTTCATGCTAAACATCTAAGCTCTAGCTCATTGGGTTTTTTTCAAAGAAGATTTTAAAGTTTTTGCTATACACATATAAGGAAAATCAATAACACCCGGGGCTGGGCCAATCTTGACTCCAGGGCTTTTATTTGAACAAAATTTGTAGACATTCACTAGAAGATGTTTCATGCTTAATATCTAAACTCTAGCTATTTGGGTTTTTTCAAAGAAGATTTTTAAGTTTTTGCTATTCACATATAAGGAAAATCAATGACCCCCGGGGCGGGGCCAATTTTGACCCCAGGGCTTTTATTTGAACAACTTTGGTAGACACCCATTAGAACATGTTTCATGCTAAATATCTTAGCTCTAGCTCTTTGTGTTCTTTAAAAGAAGATTTTTTAAGTTTTTACTATATGCATATAGGGAAAATCAATGACCCCCTGGGGCGGGGCAAATTTTGACCCCAGGGCTTTTATTTGAACAAACTTGGTAGACACTCATTAGAAAATGTTTCATGCTAAATATCTTTGCTCTAGCTCTTTGGGTTCTTTAAAAGAAGATTTTTTAAGTTTTTACTATATGCATATAGGGAAAATCAAAGACCCCCTGGGGCGGGGCCAATTTTGACCCCAGGGCTTTTATTTGAACATACTTGGTAGACACTCACTAGAAGATGTTTCATGCTTAATATCTAAACTCTAGCTATTAGGGTTTTTTCAAAGAAGATTTTTTAAGTTTTTGCTATTCACATATAAGGAAAATCAATGACCCCCGGGGCGGGGCCAATTTTGACCCCAGGGCTTTTATTTGAACAAACTTGGTAGACACCCATTAGAACATGTTTCATGCTAAATATCTTAGCTGTAGCTCTATGAGTTCTTTAAAAGAAGATTTTTTAAGTTTTTACTATATGCATATAGGGAAAATCAATGACCCCCTGGGGCGGGGCCAATTTTGACCCCAGGGCTTTTATTTGAACAAACTTGGTAGACACTCATTAGAAGATGTTTCATGCTAAATATCTTAGCTTTAGCTCTTTGGGTTCTTTAAAAGAGGAGTTTTTAAGTTTTTACTATATGCATATAGGGAAAATCAAAGACCCCTGGGGCGGGGCCAATTTTGACCCCAGGGCTTTTATTTGAACAAACTTGGTAGACACTCATTAGAAGATGTTTCATGCCAAATATCTAAGCTCTAGCTCTTAGGGTTTTTAGAAGAAGATATTTAAAGTTTTTCTCTTTCGGTTGCCATGGCAACCAGAGTTCTGCGTGGAATTAAATTCTTTGAACAATTTTTAAAGGTGACCACCAAAGGAACATTCCTGTGAAGTTTGGATGAAATTGGCTTAGTGGTTTATGAGGAGATGTCATTTAAAGTAAAAGTTTACGGACGGACGGACGCCGGACGAAAAGCGATCACAAAAGCTCACCCTGTCACTTTGTGACAGGTGAGCTAAAAAAGAATATGGTTTTCTTACGAAATATGTATTTGGTTTCGAAATGTGCGAAATTTAGATTTTGCACCTTGCTGCAGATTAGGTTTTTGTGGATTAATATATTATGTCGTGATCTTGTCAAAATTGTTTTGTTATTTTGTTGGACTTTTATTGGTTATGTTTCATTTTGTATCTTTTAACACTTGGTTTCGTATATACATATGCATTGTTATCACAAATGGTTTGACAACAGAGGCAGACGACACTTACTATAACTGCTGCCTTTGTTGACTGTTGGTTCCATCTCATTCTTTCATCTCTAGCGAAGATCATTGCATGCGCCACATGCTCGTAATCAGCAAACGCTGTATCCGCCTCATAACGCGTGATTGTCGTAAAATCAAATTTAGTATCTCCATGACGACCATAAGATTCATACTTTACGAGCTCTCCCCAATTTTCTTCTTCTCGAGGACTTTGTTCAAATTCGGCATTTGTGGCACGCTCCTTCCCTGTGTGCTGTTGAAAATATTTTGAGCACTTACAAAGTCAATCAATTAACCCACCCACTGACAAAGTCAATCAATTAACCAACCGCGTAAAGATAGAAACGCTTTCTATATATTATAATATTAATGACAAAGATTATAAGTTGAAAACCATTTAGATTCAGTTATAAACTACTTCTTAATTGTTCGTTTATTTAATGTAATTTTAATTTTGTTTGTTTGAGGCGCCGTATATTATTTTCTTACATTTTAGTTTACTACTTTTTATATTTATTCATCTCTTTTTGTTGTCTAAATTAGAATTCCCTTGTTGAAGGCAAAATTATCTTCCTCAAACCATGTTAGTAATAACATAATAACAAAGACGTTCTGTTGCTTCATGACATTTATGATAAGTTATCAATTATATACAATAAAAAGCTTCAATGAAATTGTTAAATAATAACAATAAATCAAAATTTGTTGAATGATATGATGAATAAACTAAGAATAATAAAAGTAAAACACAACATGTGAAAAATAAATAAGAGAATAGAATGGTCCCAAATATACCTCTAATACAATTTATAATTTAAATGATCTATTGCTAATTTGAAAAATACCCTATCTGTCTTTATTGTAATTGAGCACCTTAACGTATTTTATTACCCCTCACTTTTTTCGTAATGCTAATTTCCCATAGGCCTCTGGGAGTTATTTTTTACTGTTAATGCAAGTGTACCACGTGACTAAGAATTTTGTACTGTTACATAGGTAACAGTATTTTTTAACAGTATAAAATCTGGTCACGTGGTCTATTTTCTAAATAAAATGAAATAAAATGGCCGCCATTTTTTCTCGATTCATTCTTATTTTCAACGTTAAACCACGATAGGAAGTCAATTTCTTCTCTGGAGTAACTATGACACTCTTAAAATTTAGTTGTTTGCAACCTGGTGTGCTTTTCGCGTATAAAATATCTTTTTGTTGAATAGTCAAAAAGTGAGCATCCGTTTCCAACGGAAGTAATTGCAATGTAAATAATTATGTGTCAAACTGGAACATGCAGACGATTTAAGCATGCAACAAAGGATTATTTTACAATTTTAATCAGTGAAACGTTACAGATATGGTGGACAGACATAGGATATCATCGTTTTTTAGTCAAAAACCATGCTAAGAATATTCTTGAAACAGAAGGATCAGATTTCACAGATCATAACCGTGTAAATGGGTTAGTGTTTTGTTTTCTAAAAAAAACCTAGCTTATTGTATGTTTATGATTTGTAGATATCATCACTTGCTTAAAGAATAAAAGAAAAAGAAAACTTAACTTAAAAGGTAAGGACAGTTTAGTTATTGTTACTCTTGGTTTATTCTTGTTACAGTTAGATTTAGTTGACAATTTCAGATCATCACAGTATTTTTGTTCGGGGTAATAAAATAAATAACACATGGGTTTGTGAGTAACAGTAAAAATATCATCCCTCGTAAAAATACTGTTACCCTCGGACAGTATTTTCCTCGGATGATATTTTTACTGTTACCCACAAACCCATGTGTTATTTATATAATAACACTAAGTTGTTAATTGGCAGATATTCACAAACGCTACCCGCGGCCATTGATCATTGAGTTAATTACATGTATTTATAATATATTCTAAAATTCTTCGAACATTATGTTAACCGTGCTATGTAAAGCGTCATATAGATTTATTTGCCTTGAAATTTTCTGTTAATTCCACTACATGCTCTATCTCTTCTCGAGTGAACAATTTAGTATGAACTAGTCCGCAAAGCAACTCTTCTTTAGCGTTCCCGGCAAACTGATTACTTAGAAATGCAGGAAAACCTCTGAAGTTATCTCCCATAGTAAACAATGGTGGTCGAATACTACCCAATGTCTGAAAATAAAACAGATAATATAGCATTGGAATGTTAACCAGCATAATTGCTCAGTCAAACTACATTGTAATAACCATAACCACATCCTTAAACTATTTCTTAACTTTTGTTATACAAATGTTTGTTTTGTTTGTTTGTTTCATTTTACGCACCATCAGTACATCAGTCATATAGGCGGGTAGTTTCCTAACCATCGTTCCTGGACAGTAACACCAGTACTAGACTACCTTCCTCCGCGCTAAACTACCAAAGCATCTCCCGGCCAGAGAGGTAACTTGATTAGAAATCATCAACTCTAATCCCTCGACCACAAAGGCGGTTTTATATACAATTGTACTTAAATCAAATCATAGTTGGTGACCTGTGTGTTCAAAAAGCAATTTACATCGTTTCCGTTACTTATGTTACATGTTGTCTATGTAGATTTTCTCTGTTTATCTGATAGAGTGCTAGAAATTTTAGGGAAAAAATATCACTTCTGGTACCTCTATACCGTGTTCATGTGCTTGTGTACATTTATCTTCAATTCCTCTGAATTCATCCATCGTAACTTCCTTAATGTAGAAATGCAACACAAGTTTCTTCTTATCGTGTAAAAATGTCACAACATGGTTCTCTTCGTTGAAACTATGTTTATTTAAATCGAGCGCTATTTCCTCATGCATTTCACGATTAAGACCCTCGACAGGGTTTTCTCCTGGGTCAACAAGGCCACCAGGGAATCCGAGCAGACCATCAAATCGCATCTGCATCTGAAGGAAAACAACACAACGAGGTAAAAGTACTCAACCTTTATTTATATATTTGTAATTGTTTTAATCTATATTGTGTTTGTTTACCATGTAACATGTTTACCTTTTGCCGAAATAAATCTATCTATCTATCTAACAATATGTGTTTTCTAATAAGAACATACAAAAAGCATTGAATATAATTCAATTTGCATACTATGTAAATTTTACTATTAATTGTGCTAGGTAAAGTCTAGTGTTATTCTGGGTGGTAAAAAACATGACCTGCACAGTTTCAAAAGATCTACAGATTAGCTTGCTTGTACATCATCTTCATAACCCAGCTAATGTGCCAATCTTCTCTTTCTTAAAATGATTAATAGGCTACATGAAATTCAATAGACATGTAACCCGGTATGTGTTTACATTTTCTTAAAAATCATGTGTTTATATCCAACAACATTTATTATGTACTACAAAAACCAAACCAGAACGGCAGCCTTGGTGTTATAGAGATTCCACAAAACGACGTCATTCTTTGCGTAGAGCATGCCATGAGAAGCATGCATGTGTTCTTTATACTGCGTCTTTGCATCTTCATAAGATATTATCTTGTAGTCATGTTTAGTATCGCCATGACGACCGTAAGACTCTAAGTCTACCAACATTCCCCAACAACTCTCTTCTTTCAGATCATCATTCATGGCTCTGTGATCTTCTATATCTTGGGTTATAAAATGAAAGTATTCTTTTTTATGAATATTTAGAAACTAAATGTTGTTAATTTACAACTGTCGGACGAGTCATTTAATAAAATACTTAAAATATGTATTTCTATTGAAAACTTATAGGAAAACAGTATTCAACATCATACTGGCGTAGCAAACAAAGCACTGATGACTAAGGTTGTTACTTGAATTTGTGTTATCACGTAACATGCATCTCCGAAATATGTTCAAAATTGAAGTGATCGCTGAAGCATACTAAGGTATACCCGAGATGAATCAGTTGTAATTGTGTGAATTTGTGCTCAGTGTGAACCTATGAGTCGATTTTATCCAGACTGCCAGGGACATAAATAGCATTCTTAATTTGTACATTGTTCATTATCACAAAAGATTGATTCAGTCATCAATTTAACTGCACTGGTTACGGTCAGTTGATACTAAGAAAATACATTGTTTACAGATTCATTTACTACAAGTTTCCGAGAGATCTGTTTCAATTAAATGTCACAGAAAAAAATGAGTCTGAAAGGAAATCCACGTAGATATACATGTATGTATAATAGCTTATAGAAACTTATACAGTAGAAAAGATACGGGTTTCCTTGAGAGTCGAATGCAGATCAGTAAGTTCAGAACAGTGTAAAAATATTTCTTTCTTGGATAATTAAGTACATGTACGTATAATAAACCACCACTTTAGAATTTAATAGATGTAATATACATCAAAATTAATAAATATATTTCTAGTTTACTTTAAAGCATAAATGCACAGAAAAGAATGTTTTCATCGGTACACGAGTATAAATTTCTCTCAAGCATAACGAAGTCGACAATCTTATATATATATATAAATGTACATTGCCACATGTTCAGTATCGATCATATAAATCTTTAGAAATGTTTCAATTTAAGTACATGTAGTCAGCTAGCATAGTACGAAAACCAATAAAACAGCTATTAAAAAGAATGTTTTAAATGATCAATATGTATAACTTATCAATGTGTATACATGTAGTATCAAACTGTTTTACTTTACCTCCCGATTATTTTAACATCCAAATCAGACGACACCAATAATCAAACGAAAGTAACTGATCTAATGATCGCTGACTAACCCCACGGACTTAAATTATTATGATCCTAAACGAAAACGATTAGCTATATACGTATGTTTGTCGATTTGTATTAATGACAAAATACATATCATATGAGTAAAAGCCTTGATTATGTAACAGATACCAAACATGCATGGTTATTCTATTTGCAGATTTGTGTGCTAATAGTTGTATACAATGTTTACGTTCTATAAGCACCATGGCATTTTATTTTATTTACGTCATATTGTGTGGCTGTTAAGCATATAAACTTCAATGTTTTCCGCCGTACACATCTGCGAATGTTTCTGATTTCAAAATTAAACTGAAAACCATTTTTCATGTTTAAATTTAATGAAGACAGCGCGACGGTATGTGGACGGTCGCTTCCATTAACAGGAAACAGACCCGATCAAACCGAGCTAGCTAGTCTGCATTTATTGAGACTTGATGGTAAAAGGTAATTTTTTCAGATATGTAAAAATTGATCGAAAACCAGTTGTATCGTTGTAGCAGATGTCCCATTCGTGTTTAAATATTAAAATATTTTTGACAGAGTGTTTACAGGGGCGTATCACGTTGGGGGGCAGGATCTGACCCCCAAGCGTCTGTGAATAAAAGCCCTTAAGCGCCCAATTTGTTGGGCTACATGTACGTCGTCGAACAGCAGAAGTCATGTTTATTTTTAATAAGCGAATAAATTTTGTTAAGATAAACAACATGGCATCTTGCCTGAAAGATCAGCTAGTTGGCCATGGTGATAGTGAACACTGGGTGATAAGGGTCCGGGTAAACCGGATTCAAAATCATTACCAGATTACCGGTCAAGACCCACATAAAGATTCTGATTGGCAAGACACACTCTTTTGCCAGAGACATGTTATCTATGTCTCTGCTTTTGCAAAAGGTAATGTGTTTATTTCAACTAAGTGTAAACTTTGTTAATAGTTCTATGAGGTATATATACTCCTAGTTCTGTTAAGCATTTACAATACAAAGAAAAGATATACCTGAACTGATAAATTGCCTTGTAAGTGGCGTTTTACATAACAAGGGAAGTAACTTTTCACTGTCATTTCGTTAAAATTCGTTCATGCATGGTTGATATGTGAGAGAAAAATGTGAAAACGCGTCACAGAAATATTGTTAAAAAGATTATACATTTATCAGCTGTGATTTATTTCAAGCTACTGGAGCTATCCTTTATCCTCAAACTTAATTATTAGTTTTCGAATCTATAGATAGATTGAGCTGTTTACAAGTAGCATGGGAAATGTTAATTGCATCTCGTATGAAATTGATTCAGTCACATGTGGTGCTTAGAAAATTACATTTTCAATTCTTAGAATGTTATGGAATTGATTTTATGGAAATGATAAGACTCGCCTCGAAAGCCTCCAATAAACACCTTCTTGTAGTTTTAAAATCGATTCTGACAAAAAATATAGTCTAATCTACATATATAATCACGGCTTTAAAATGCTGCCAATCTCCTATAAATTAAAATAAGGAGAGAAAGCATAAAATAACAAATTAAATTACCATTTTCAACATATTTTGAAGTAATCAAACTCTTTAAAATTTACACGTCATTTTAATGTTATTTTATGTTTTCTAATAGGAAGGAAAATAATTGAAAAAATAAGGGTCATTTTTTACGGGTGATATATTCTAACCTCTTTATAAATCATAGTAAAAGCGATACAATATTAGTTATATTCAATTGGAGCATAAAATAAAATGAAAATATCGTGTCAGACAATTAACTCGCTAATAAATCAAGCAGACAACGGTGTTAAGTACGGAAAGATTCGTCGTGTGACGGGGGAAATCTTACTTGATAACTCTTCAATAGGAGATTTGAAACGTGTCAAAGATGGCTGCGCCCTGTTGGTCGATCTTTTCACTGCTGTATTTATTATTTGCATTATTGCTTATTCGAAGTGTGTCATTAGATAATACTGAATCGGGCAGTTGCAAAAAAGATGATTCTAATGAAAAGGATAGTTCATGTGGTTGTTCAACCAGTCGCCAACACTCGGAGAATGAAAAACCGGTTGAGAAAGATCATGAAAAGTTGAAATACTCTCAAAATAATGCTCAAAATGTTGAAAGTCCGTATGTAAGAACCAATCAAATGGTACCAATACCTGCAGGAACATTTACAATGGGGACAAATAAACAAGTTTTTGTTGCAGATGGTGAGGGACCTGCAAGAAAAGTCACTCTTAAAAAGTTTTACATGGACAAGTATGAAGTCAGCAATTCTGAGTTTGAACTATTTGTGAAATCCACCGGATACAAGACAGAGGTGAGAATTTACTCTAGAATTGCAGATCTGAAGTTTTAAATGATATATTAAGTGATTATTTTAAATGAATTTGTCCAAAATCATAAAAAATGTGCTCAGTTTAAAAAGTAGGCCTCTTGTTATATTGTGCTATATTTTAACATTATGATGTCATTTGCCATAATAGGAACTTATGATAACAGGTTAGATTAGAAAAGGCAAAGCCTATAGAATAGGAAAGTCAGATAAACAAACTTAAAATCAAAGGTTGAGCAAACTAATCTTATCTAGAGTCGCACACAATATGGACAATTTTTAGGTAAACCATTTTAATAATGAAGACTGGTAGAACTAATTAGCATGTCATAAGTTGAATAATAGATCAATCTTGTGCTCACTGCAAATTGTAATGACATAGGTTTAGTTTTACTTTTGGATACTAAAATTAGATAATTTGCTTCAAAATTTAGAAACAATTTGCTAAGTAATGAAATGTACTATGTCTTTACATAATTCATAAAACAATCCAGTTACAAATGTAAGGTAGACCATGGGTAATGGGCACCATAAAGAACTGTAAAATTGACAACATAGGACAGTTATATGTCTTCAAGGTCACCTGTATGCAAAATTTAAATAAAATTTACCGTGTGGTTTATGAGTTATGGATATATTTCTGAACTAAGACCTTGCCATTTGAAGGGCTTATTTTCAGAAATGAGGAAACTGTAAATAATCTGTAATATCATCATTATAAAAAATGTTTTTCTATTGCTCATTGTTAAGAAACAAATAATAACATTCAAGTAACACATTACACAACCAAAATGTTTGGTTCTAAACAAAATGTTCTAAAAATGTATAAAAATGTAACCCTACCCCACCCACTTTTAACACTAATTTTACCATTTCCCTTTCTAAAATGCCTTATTCAAAATATCCCTAAAAATTATCGAAATGAGGGTCTGTTTTCAAACTTTGCCTAAATTTTTTTAAATGTATATTAGTTGATCATGCGAAATATAAAATACTTTTACCGTGTAGTTTTTATTTTATCGAACTTTGAAAATATCTGGTATCATATTTGTTATAAATTTTGGCATTATTTAACCAAAAAAATACCTAAAATAAATATATAATTAAAATCAAACTTTTTTTCTTCCATAAGGGATCAGAGAGATACATAAAAAATGTTAAAAAGAAAAAAAGAAAGAGAAAAAAAGTTACCCCTTCTGGGGTTTGAACCCATGCCCCTCAATTTCAATGTAGTTTACAAGCGATTCTAGCCTATTTGAATACTCTTCAAAGTGGAGGTAATGCATTACCCATGGTCTACCTTAACTTGAACTTGTTTGAAAGTCACATTTATTTCAATAACAAAATGCCATGGCTCTGTTAAGTTATAAAACTTAGATACTTACTTTGTTTACAATACCTTTAGCCATATTTATATCCATAATTTGATTGAACGGGAAACCTTTTGGGGAAAAAATTGTTACTGACAACAATCTGGGCCAGGGGCTTTTGTGTTTTACACGGTCTTGTTTGTATTTGTTCTATTCTAATGGTTGCAGGCAAGTGACTGATACAATTGATCAGATTTGCAACCTTTTACCCTAACATCAGAATGGAGTTATTGATATACCAACTGACATTATTTTAGTTATTCCTGTCCAAAACAGAAATGATTGACTAAAACATTTGATTGACTGGATTGATTGACTAAAACATTTGATTGACTGGATTGATTGACTAAAATATTTATTGGCTGGATTGATCAACTAAAATATTTGATTGACTCAGGATTTATCAACTAAAATATTTGATTGACTGGATTGATTGACTAAAACATTGGATTGACTGGATTGATTGACTAAAATATTTGATTGCCTGGATTGGTTGACTAAAATATTTGATTGACTGGATTTATCAACTAAAATATTTGATTGGCTGGATTGATTGACTAAAATATTTGATTGGCTGGATTGATTGACTAAAACATGTGATTGGCTGGACACAGGGCAGAAAAAATTCAGACTTTATCAAACATCTGCAGGTGATACACCAGTATGAAATCATCATACAAACACCTCAACCATATTTACATGTATTTATTTAATCATAATCATCTGTATTTGTGCCCTCTTTGACTTTCCTGTATTAGCATCCACTAGTTCTAAATAGAAAAGTTTGAATTGTTAAATTTTGGTTGAAACTTTACACAACGGACAACAGAACTGTATAATATGGAATGTATACCAATCTGTGTTGCAAAGAGCTGAAAATGGACTGCAAAAATGGGCTTCCAAAGTGAAGAAACTACTTGATGAATGTTGCTTTGGGGAAGTATGGCTATATCCTCGTTCGGTAGATATTAACACGTTTATACCAATATTCAAACGAAGATGTTACAATATATATGTTAGTGAATGGAGAGTGTGTACACAAAGTAGCCCAAGTATCATGTTTTTTAACAGTATTAAACAAAACTTTGGAATGGCAGATTATTTAACATTGATGGAAAATAAGAAATACTGGGATCCTTCACTAGGACTTTAAATCAGGGAGTCCATGGACTCCCAACCCTGAAAAAGTTGGAGTCCAAAAGCGCGTCGCAATTAATATGTTTACAGATTAGTCATTCAATGCTCACAATAGCATTGCTGATATTTTGAATCTTCAAGAGACTTCCAAAGTTTATAGTTATTCAAAAGAAACTCTGAACTACATAGTATAATTATTGTTTTGTTGTTGATATTTATTATGAAATTATTTCATTATAATGCATCAACACATGGAAATCGTTTTTTTTCCCACTTTTATACCATATCAAATTTTATTCTGGTTAAATAAGTCCACTCTAAAGACAAAAAGTTTATATTTGTAAAAAAAACGTAAATGTATATAGGCAGCGTTTAGCGGAATGAACAGAATTCCATTTGAATATCAAAATGTTTCATACGTTTTATGATTATGAAGAATAAATACGTTAATTGAGTTAATAGTGTTAATTTCAATTACACTCCTATATTGGCCTCTTCGTAACAAGCATGGCTGCCGTGTCTATTTTACTGACAAACTTGGTTTTTCCGATATTTTAACCTTGCCATTCAATAATCGTAGTTTCCTTGCTGATTATTAAAAGATTAATTTCAATTCACGACTTCAAAATTTTTTGAAACACAATCTCCGGTAAATTGAGTTGTCTACACAATTTCTTTCCTGTTATAATGCCCTACTTTAAAGACACATTTCTACGGTCAAATGTTTAATTTCATATTTGATAAAGGAACATTTACGTGTATTAAGAACCCTAAATTATTTGGGTAAAATTCCATTCTTTTTCGTTATTTAAAAAAAAAGTTACAGCGAAAAAACATCATATTTTGTCCGGTAATATGTAGGATGCCAGTATAGAAATGTTATAACGATAATAGGGTTGTCCTCTCGTTGCCTTGAAATTGAAGAAGGTAGGCATAAGAACATTCCTAGGAACAAGCGTCTGTGTAAATTATGTCTTCAACGAACAATAGAAGATCAATTCCACTTCATATTAGAATGCATAATAACATTAGAAGACAGTATATACCACATTGGTACAGAACAAGGCCAAACTTATAATGATTAAATTCATTGATTTATTATCATCCACTGATGTGCATATTTTATACAGACTGGCAAATATTTAATCAAAGCATTTGAAGAAAGAAAGACTCTCTTAAATACAAATAGTTAATTAAAATACTAAACTCAAAAACTGTGTCATATGAAATAATAATTACCCTGTTTGACATTTCGTTATCACAATTGTATATGAATAGTTAGAAATAGCAAAGCCGAATCTTTCAAATCTATCAAATATATGTAGGCTTTGTATTTATCTTCGATACATTGATTCGTTTCTTGTATATGCTCTCATTACATACTTTTATGCATGTTTTATTCTGTTCTGTATTAGTATTTAGTATAAATTGGGAAATCTTTCTGACATATTTTGGCACCTACACTATAGTAACTACTATTTAATTGTTGATGTTCTGATTTGGATTTTATATACATAATTATATGGATTAATGATAATTACAAAGAGTTTTAAAAATGATTATACACATGCGCATACATGTACTACGTAAATGTATATACATCTAAATCATTTGAGTAAGGTTTGTGAGTTAAATAAAAATAAAACCAACATACACACAAGCTAATCTGTGAACACTGACTTGGCTCTCAGCTAGAGTGCTGTTTAAGCATACATGCTATATATCAACGCTTAATGACTGTTGCATGGGCAGGAAATCTCCCGGAATATAATGTTCAATGCAGACAGTGCATTTACAGAAATGAATATTACTGTTAAAAGGTCATATGAATATAAATAAACTCAATATCATTATATTGTCCATTGTTAACACAAGACTTATCCTTTTCTTTGAGTGATTTATGGACCCTTATCACATTTAAAAAGATAGATAAACTGACTGTTATTTATGATATGTTGTCTTAAAGAGTAACCGTAAAGTACAAAAACTGTAGGTTATTTGCTATTATGTAACATTAAGAAACGATTTTCTATGTTGGTCTTTGTTAAAATAATGCTAAATTTTCTTGATTTTATTTTGTTTGGATTAAACTACTAATACCCATGATTTTGATAATTTTAAATAACATTTTAGGAAAAAATGTTGCCCGTTTCAGTTCAGTAAAACAAACACTTAAGTTGAAAGTTATAACCTTCTTTGAAGTGAGTTGTCATCCTTCCAATCAATGCTATAGATATGAAAAGTCTTTATTACTGGGATGCACATTGTTTAATATGTTTTTATTCCTCTTTTAGGCAGAGTCCTTTGGTAACTCATTTGTAATGGAAATGTATGTCGACAAAAAAGTTTTGGAAACAATAACACAAGTGGTGAGTACAGTTTTATAGTTATTCCAATGCAACTAGTATTTTTATAAAAGAATTTGTTAATTGAATATATGATAATGTCAAGCAAGAACTATTAATTTATTTTAAACTGAATCAGAGTTTGCTATTCTGTTGGCTGACCAACTTCAAATTTTCATCTTCATGTCGCTAAAATTTGTTATGGACAATTCCAGAATAGGAAGCAAGTCAAGTCCCTTTAAGAAATTTAGCTAGATGAGAAGTAATAGATAAATACAGACGAGAAAGATAAAGTGAACAAGTTTTCTTGCATGTACATGTATGTTTTAACTATTTGTAAAACTGAATATTTCTTGATGATGATTGATATTTTACATGAAGTAGTTGAAGACAGTTATAACAGTTTTCCTATTTTCAGAGTAACATGCCATATGGATGTTGTAGCATATGTGACTTAATCAATATAACAATTAATAAGGATTTTTACATCCTTGTATTGTAACATGTAATCAAGTTTCTCTATCAGTCCTGAAGCTAAAATATGTCATTTACATTTCACTAATGACTATCCCAACATGGTGTATAAATGGTATTATACATGTATAAATTGTTATCATATAATGTTTTTAATATATACAATGTACATGTATTATGCTCAAATTTGATATTTGTAAATATTGATAATTGCTTGCAATGAATGACTGACTTTAAAGTACTATTTATCACCATACAAATGTATTTTTACTGCCTACTAACACAGTGAGGGCTATACTTGCATATTTTGACCTTTATGTGGTTATTTTCATGGGTTGAAAGTGCCGTTTGCAACGTGAAAATTACTTTCTTTGTTCATTTGACAGTAACAACATGATTTAATGAGCCGTGTCATGACAAAACCAACGTAATGCGTTTGCGACCAGCATGGATCCAGACCAGCCTGTGCATCCGCGCAGTCTGATCATGGTCGCAAACGCATTACGTTGGTTTTGTCGTGACGCGGCTCAAAACACTTGGAAATGAGCATGAATCTGTAGGCATTGTGATGTTTATTGCCATTTCTTATAGAAAGCACTTTACGTATCCTTGCAAATTTGTACCCTTCTAATACAGAATCCATCCTATACCAGACATATTCTCTATTCCCAATAACAATAATTTGAGCCGCGTCACGACAAAACCAACATAATGGGTTTGCGACCAGCGTGGATCCAGACCAGCCTGCACATCCGCGCAGTCTGATCAGGATCCATGCTGTTCTTTATCAGTTTCTCTACTTGTAATAGGGTTTGTAAGCGAACAGCATGGATCCTGATCAGACTGTGCAGATGCGCAGGCTGGTCTGGATCCATGCTGGTCGCAAACACATTATGTTGGTTTTGTCGTGACGTGGCTCATTTCTAATAAGTTATAATCTAACTAGTGTATACATTGTATTATTACATGTTAGGTGGCTGCAGCACCCTGGTGGGTTCCTGTAAATAATTCCGACTGGAGACACCCTGAAGGTCCAGGGTCAGATATAAAACACAGGTCAGTGTACACATATATTTTATATGAGATTTCAGTGGCATTGCTTTCAATAGTTGTTATATGATGCTGATTATCAAACTGACACATGAAGCATATGGTGTCACAAAGAAAGGGTTTTACATTTTGTAATCATCTAGGTTATGCACAATTCCATTATTGCTTTAGTGTTGTCAATTAGTTAAATCATTTAACATTAGCTTTGTGAAAGAGCCATTTCAATAATTTCAAATCAATGCAAATTTGATATGCAAGTTTACTAATATAAAATGTTAACATTATGTTACAGGATGGATCATCCAGTTTTACATGTATCATGGAATGATGCTGTAGCATTCTGTAAATGGGCAGGCAAACGTTTACCAACAGAAGCTGAGTGGGAATATGCTTGTAAAGGTGGCCTTGATAACAGGTAATTTGTATCTTTACTTCTTTAATTCTTTCTGAAATTTTTAGATGCATGTGTGTCATTATACTGAGCTACCTCAGGCTGCTTACACATTTCCTCCCTAATAAATAAACAATTCTATACTGTATGTAAAAGAAATTATTAAATAATAAGAAATTTTTTTTTAGCAATTTACCTGTCCAAATTAAAGTTGGATGAATCCATTGAACAATTATAGCAGGGTAAAATATGAATGTTATATTACGTCTTTGACAGATTATATTCCTGGGGAAATGCAGAACAACCTAAAGGTGTACATTGGATGAATATTTGGCATGGTGAATTTCCTAAAACAAACACAGAAGATGATGGATATGGGGCTACTGCACCAGTATGATTTAACACTGCTATCCTTTGATAAAACTTTGTTTTTTACACATTTAAAATCCTATTAAGATGAAGTATTTATGACTGTAAGAAAAGTCAATTGCAGAGTTATTGCCCTTGTTTTTAGCTCACCTTGCACAAAGTGCAGGTGAGCTTTTAGGATGGCCAACCAAATGGCGTCCGTCGTCTGTCGTCTGTCCACATTTTAAATATTCTAAGGACATCTTCTATGATACCGCAAGGCCAATGTTAATGAAACTTGGCAGGAATACTCTTTGTATGAAGCTCTATCAAGATTGTTCAAAGAATTCCATTTCATGCAGAACTCTGGTTGCCATGGCAACCGAAAGAAAAATCTTTAAATATCTTCTTTTAAAGAACCGTAAGAGCTAGAGCTTAGATATTTGGCATGAAACATCTTCTAATGAGTGTCTACCAAGTTTGTTCAAATAAAAGCCCTAGGGTCAAAATTGGCCCGGCCCCAGGGGGTCATTGATTTTCCCTATATGCATATAGTAAAAACTTAAAAAATCTTCTTTTAAAGAACTCAAAGAGCTAGAGCTAAGATATTTAGCATGAAACACGTTCTAATGGGTGTCTACCAAGTATGTTCAAATAAAAGCCCTGGGGTCAAAACTGGCCCGCCCCGGGGGTCATTGATTTTCCTTATATGTGTATAGCAAAAACTTAAAAATCTTCTTTGAAAAAACCCAAATAGCTTGAGTTTAGATATTATACATGAAACATTTTTAAGTAAATATCTACAAAGTTTGTTCAAATAAAAGCCCGGGGGTCAAAACTGGCCCTGCCCCAGGGGTGTCATTGTTTTTAACTATATGTGTATAGTAAAAACTTAAAAAATCTTCTTTTAAAAAACCCAATGAGCTAGAACTTAGATGTTTAGCATGAAACATCTTCTTATGGGTGTCTGCCAAGTTTGTGCAAATAAAAGCCCTTGGGTTAAATTGGCCCTGCAACGTTGGGGGGGGGGGGCTATATACAGGTGAGCGACCTCAGGGCCATCATGGCCCTCTTGTTTTACTTATTGCCCTTGAAAAATGTTTGTAATTAGAAATGTATTATTTTTTTGTGACAGATTTTTTTGTTTTACATTTTTAAACAAAACAATTGTAGAATTTATGGAACAAAATGGGTTTTTCAGTGTTTTATTGTAAGAGTTATTTTTTTCTTTAAAAGGTAACAGAGTTTCCTGAACAAAATAAATTTGGATTAAAGAATATGATTGGAAATGCTTGGGAGTGGACACAAGATTGGTGGGAAGTTAAACACACAGACACACCGAAAACAAATCCTGTAAGTATATAGTATAGTATAATAGGCTTTCTAGTTATCATTAGAATATTACAGAATAAATAAAAAAAAAATTTTTATTTTATTAATTAAAACTACATGAGTATGAAATGTTTAGATGAACTGGAAATAAAACATCAATTCTTGCTTATCACATGAATGCTGGAAATTTCATCTGGCATGAGAGGTGCTAGATCAGTCATTCTTGCATATCAGACTGGCGTTTCCGTTAGTTTTACCCATGCCGAAAATTTCATCTGGCATGGGGGGTTCCAGATGAGTCGCGTGCTGTACAATGGCATGATAAAGGTGACGTCATTTTACCGTTATGAATGATTTTGTAATTCATACGCTGTTATATGAAAGTAGTAACGGTTGTAATGATACAAATTTTCATTGAAAATAAAGATAAAGAATTTAAAATATAATGTAATATGGTAGAATATGCAAGAAAAAATATCTGACATATGTTTGCGGTTCGGATCGGAATATCCGTCCCTCGGTCACCAGCCCATGGGCGGTAACTCGGCAAGCCTCGTTACCGCCCAATGGGCGGGTCACCTCAGGACGGATATTCCGATCCGAACCGCAAAATATGACAGATATTATTATTAATGATCATAGAAGTCGTAACTATGATCATAGTACTGCTATCCATGATATTAGTACTGGTGTATCTATGAACGTCAGAAAACAAGAAGCATCTTTTGAAAAGATACTGACTTTGGAATGTTGTTTTGTTTTGTCACAGGGTATTTTCTGGGTGTTTTCTTAGTGCAGAAATATTATAAATCATAAATGCTTAGTAATAACCCAGCATATAGATTGACTGTCTTCTGTTTGCAAAGTTATTGTTTGAACATTTTTCTGACCTTGGGGATTAGCCTTGTAGCTTCATTGTGATGAAACCTTAAATTTTATTTGGACACTACTTGAGTCTGCCTCCTGGAAGTAGTATGGGTGTCATATGAACATGAACATGGTTGTTACCCAGTAAAGCCCAAACTCATTTGCCCTTTGATGAGAGGCAAATATGTCAGAACAATGCCGTAACTCTCCTTACCCTCTTAAATATCATAAATGGACTTGTCCATCTCTCAACCTGGACTAACCATTCATCATCTTTAGGGAACATTTCATTATATGAACTGACTGAATAGGGAACATTGCAGACCATAATCAGATTGCACAGTAGTGTGGGCTTATCTTGGTCTGCATTGGTAGTATTGTTGCCAGCAAGCTATGGGTTAATATAATTAATGAAACAGTCAGTTCAAAAACATTTCTCACATTCTAAACCAGAATGTCTTATCTATAAAACTATGATATATCTACAGATTGAGATCATGAGCTATTTAATTTCAGTACTTTTATAATAAAGATGTTGTTTTTCTGATCTTTCTCAAGTTAACAACATTCTTGCTTTTATTTTGTTTACAGAAAGGACCGTCAAAAGGGACTGATAAAGTCAAGAAAGGTGGATCATTTATGTGTCACAAGGTAATGATCACTTTACACTGCCTTTAAAGATGTTTCTCTATACATGTGTGTGTGTGTGTGTGTTTTATCATATTTTTCAACAACATAATTATTATTTTTTTATAAAAAAAAAAATAGATTGATGAAAGATATCATGAAAGGAAAACATTTCTGTTTTAAGAAAAAATAACACACCCTAAATTTTAATAATAAGCATGTCTCGAAAACAAGCCCGTCTTCAAAATAAACCACCATTTTCTTACACTCAATTTAACTTTAGTCGATTTTAAAATTCAACAAATTAATAGATACACCCTCTAAAATACATTTTATACAGGCAAACTTTTAAAATCTTGCAAATAAGCCATTTTCAAAAATAAGCCACAAATCTATTACAAAAATCTTAAAATGAGCTGCTTACCAACAAATTCTAAGGGTGTTATTGATATAAAATTATTTTATCAACCTGCATGCCTGAACAATTTATTGAATAATTTTTCACATGGTTGTTATTTTCAGTCATATTGCTACAGATACAGATGTGATGCTAGAAGTCAGAATACAGTAGATAGCTCCGCCCATAATCTCGGCTTTAGATGTGCTAGCGATAATCTACCAGATTATTTACAACATTAAATATCATTTCCAGTATATCATGTTCTTGAAAATTTTCCATGGAGCATATAAATAGTTTGTCTTCCATCTCATCTTTCTATTAATTTTTTTTCCCATTTTTCATTGCATCATTATTGTCCATTGACTGAAATGACAGATTTTGTAATGTGAAGGTCATTCTCATTAACCTTTTGGTGGGGATATTAGGTCAAGGTCAGTGAGGCTTAAAACAGATTTTCTTCTTTTCTTCAATTTAGCTAAAAATAGATTTTCTACTTTTCCTCACTGAAGATAAAAACAGATTTTCTATTTTTCCTCACTGAAGTTAAAAACAGATTTTCTACTTTTCCTCACTGAAGATAAAAACAGATTTTCTACTTTTCCTCACTTAAGTTAAAAAAATATTTTTTTCCTCATCTTTCCTCATAGTGAAGGAATGATTTTAGCTCTGTCAAAGCAACAGGTGGGATTTAATTTTAATGTTATTGAAGAAAATGTCTGTTTTTACACATTTCTACATTTCATCTTTATTGTTGATCATTAATTTTACAGATTTTTTTTAATGTGCAATGTTTTTTTGTTATAAATGTAATATATCAATTGATATCATAATAGAAATCCTTATAAGATGATGTACTGTGATATAATGTTACTTTATTATTATATTTGAATTTCATGTACAGGTATAATCTATTTTAAATTAGGAGATAATTGATATAGGCAGAATCTTTGTTTTGAATATGCATTATTTGTAGAGACCTATATACCATATAGCACCATGTAATTTGGAAAGTGAAGTTTTTTGGGGATTATAATTTGTAACAACAGTTTCTTTGGCATGGTAGTTTCTCTCCAAAGTGTTTACCTTTCTCTGATGCTGTGAATGATTTTTTAGCAAGGCTTTTTAAAGAACAGGGAGAGCTATTGAACTCACCCTAATGTTGGCATTGCCGTCATGCTTTGGTTCACTTTGTGCGTGCAAGTTGGTATCTTTAAAATTACTAAAGGGAATGGTTTGAAACTTCATACACTTGTTCTCTGTGATTCTTTAACATGATGGACACATGTCCCATAACTCTTCAGTTACCCTTTTACAGAGTTATGCACTTTTTCTTGTTATACATGTTTCTTAACCCTCAATCTGCCAAAAAATTTCCAGATTCCATTATTGGATCTATCTGTTATCAATTTTTGGGATATTAAAATGATGTAAATCTGGAGGAGGGCTACTGTAATATTGAACAGCCTGCTCTACACACATGTCATTATGATGATACATGTATATCTGAAGATTTTTTAAATAATGAATATGACAAAGGTTTTACAAGTATCTTTAAAGATATAGTGCTCATTAATAAGTTTGCTGTCTTTTTTGCCTGATTTCATGAATGTGTTTGCTTTCTTACAAAAAATAAACATTTGTAGAAACTTTGCATTTCTTTCTAGTGTAAATTTGTGTTTTTGATGCTTTTTGATTTGTTTTTTTTTTTTGTTGTTTTATTAATGTTTTGTTTTTGTTTTTTTTTATGAAATCAAACTAACTATTTTGAAAAACTTGGGTATTAGATCGTTGGGTGGGAGGAATGAAAGATTTGTAGGAATATTTCTTTGTGGTTTTCTATGTGGTTAGTACATTTGTAAATCTGAATGAATGGGTTTAGATCATAAATGATAAATCAGGTTTCATTTCATGTTGTTACAGTTACTGCAATAACATTATTTTGCATGACAATAATAGAATTTATATTTTGGAAAAAAAAGATTTGAGTCTGTTGTATTCAAATAGTGCATTCATTTTTGAGTCCATTGTTATGGCACAAGTTCAAATGTACAATAATGTGATTATAAAGTCCATCTTGTACCTTCATGCAGTCCAATGAAGCTGTTCACTGGTTATGATTTTAATATTTCCATGTGTACAAGTTTTCAGGTGTATCCCTGATTTCAAGATTTTTTTTAACTTTTAAAACCCGTCTTTTTTCCAAATAAATAAAATTTTCATGAGTTCAGCTTGAATGTAGTCATGAAATCTCCTACTTAAACAGTAAGCTGTTCCATATTTAAAATAGAACAAATCTATAACATAAACTACAATAGTGTTAAGATGAATGTATGTATTGATTTATAATACTATACGTTTGTAATGTCGCTTTTCATTGAATAATCATGGCGTTAATATAATTTATATACAAGGCTGCTGTCAATTTATGAAGTAATTTCATTATTTTCTGTCTAGCATTGGAAGTTTGTAGTATTTTAAATTTGTAATAAAGATTCTTGACAGGTTATATGGCTGTATATAAATGGTTATTTTTGCAGTATAAACCTTGCGTAACCGCTTCGGTTATATATACTAACAACCATTTACATAGGGCCATATAACCTGTCAAAAAAAAGTTTTATTATTAATGATATTTGTTGATCTGACAAATTGTCATATATTCACCTTTGTCAGATAATGTTTTCTTCTCTAGTCTTGTGTTGTTGATTTCCTCAACAGATCATCTCTACACAATCATGTATCCACGTACTATACATGTAATAAGGTAATGATTGTGTTGTAGTGATCTTGAACATATATCTGTCCATATATCAGCTTACTATCTATATGATATAATTATTTTTCTGCCTATTTATATGAATAATGGAATAACTACATGGCAAAAATTAAATATTGTAATGACACTGTTTTTGTAAAATATTTGTATATTTTTGCAAGTTTGAGATACAATCTATGGATATTTTATATGATATAAAATTATCTTTGCTTGTTTTCGATTTTTTTGTTTTTCTTTTTTTTTTTGGGGGGGGGGAGATAAGCCCACCCTACTACATTACACCACCTTACTGAAATATCCCAACTACAGCACAAATATATTATACAAGATCTTTGCACCTTTGTTTTATTTTGACTTGAAATGCAAGAACAAGATTTAGATTTTGCACTCATTTTCTATAGCCCCCAGATGATTTGCCCACTTCAAAATTTTTTGTCAACTTTGTTTTAAATATTAGCAATAAAAAAGTAACCAAAATAGAGACAGACCAAGTTTTATTAACATGATAGTTATTTTTCTATTTCATGTTAACATTTGCGCCGCGCCATGACAAAATCAACATAATGCCTTTGCGACCAGCATGGATCCAGACCAGCCTGCGCATCTGTGCAGTCCGATCAGGATACATGCTGTTCGCTTGCAAACCCTGAAACAAGTAGAGAAACTGGTAGCAAACAGCATGGATCCTGATCAGACTGCGCGGATGCGCAAGCTGGTCTGGATCCATGCTGGTCGCAAATGCACTCTGTTGGTTTTGTCATGACACGGCTCATTGCTTCTGTAAAACAGAATGAAATTTTTTTTATAACTTTATTGCTTTGTACAGATTTATAAACTGTTGTTAATTATACTCAATGCTTGTACCAAATTGTTAAATCTTTTGTGCAATACCAAAAAATTGTAATTAGCTTTATTTTACTCCAAGACTGTCAACATTACCATGGAGGAAATAGGAATTACTTGCATACTGGGTACCTGCATGGCTGAGTGGTTAAGGTCTCTCAGTTGGCATTACAAGCACATCTTTGCTGCTTGTTCAAATACCATAAGGGACTTGGAATCTATTATGTGTGGAAGCTATACTGATTAAATAATTATGGAAGGTTGGTGGATTTACCCAAGTTTATGCTCGCAACTGATTAAAATTGTAATGACTGTCACTCTATAAAGAAGTTTCCCAAGTGGGTTCTTGATGACTGAAAATAGACTTCTTATATGAGCCGCATCACAACAAAACCAACATAGTGCGTTTGTGACCAGCATGGATCCAGACCAGCCTGCGCAGTCTGATCAGGATCCATGCTGTTCGCTTACCAACTCTATTACAAATAGAGAAACTGATAGCCAACAGCATGGATCCTGATCAGACTGTGTGGATGCGCAGGCTGGTCTGGATCAATGCTGGTCGCAAACCCATTATGTTGGTTTTGTCGTGACGCGGCTCATATATGCATGCATACATATTGCATCCTCGCTGTTTTAATTCCCTCGACCCATCAACAATAAGATAGGGAGATAATATTTATTTAGGCTTTCTACCTGCCAGGATGTTACAAATCATGTCATCTCCATAACCTTGTCATGTCTTGATGGATTTTGAAAATACTTTTGTAGAAATTACACCATCATTGTCCTATATAAGTATGGTGTGAAAATCCAGGTCTGTTGTGATATCACTTACTACTCATCATTATTGAATGTTCATCTTCTTTTGCATACATTTTATGTAATACAAACAGGGTATTGGAATGAACCTTATATACATGTATATGGTAAAATGGGACCAGAAAACATGTGTTTTTTGTTTTGAAAATGTGTTTTTTGATTTGAAAATGTGTTTTTTGTTTTGAAAAATAATTTGTAATTTTAACCTTTTTCACTGCCAGAACTCTTAATTACAATTAGCTATATACCTATAATTTTTATCCCAAAAAATTACTTATACAATTCATCGGACAGAAAAATCTGTATTATGTTAGTGACAATACGATACCATATATGGAAATGCTGCACCTATTTTTACAATGGTTTCCATCTTAGCTGTGGATTACATAACATTTTGGAACAAAAATTGATATTGCTTAGGGCTTGGCCTTTAATGCAAAAAATATATATATTCATCTGTCATTCATGAATTTTATTTTTTGAATGATTTATTTTTGTTTCTGAAACAACTGTCAGCACTTTAAAGATATATTTATAATGCTCATCCATGAGTAAAATATTTTTATCACAGAAATTTAGTGAAATCTATGAAATTCTAACTGAATATGTCTAATATGAATATAAGAATGAATAAACTATGTATAGGAAGCTGTGTTCCCTATTACATGTCAAGTAAAGTTGGTATTTTCTTAAAAAACTGCCAGTTTTTTTTAATGACACTATATAATGACACTAATAATAGTGTGGAGGATTTTAACATAACATATCTACTTTGTGTAAAGTCAAAACATGTTTATTTAATATTCACAAAAAGACTGTGTAGCAATTGTCAATATTTTCATATATCAAATTTGAGCATAGTTTATCTTTAAAGGTAAAGAATAAAAGCATAATTATGTTATAGTAGCTTTCTGAGGCTGTGTATTTTGTAACTGATCGTGACAATTTCGGAAATTTTATGTTAATTTTCTGACGCTGCTCATTGCAAAATACAAAGCTAATAGGAAGCTTCTACAACATAACATTCTGTATATATTCACCTTTGTCAAATAATTAAGAAATAATATCGGTCTTAGCGGTGTTTATCGGCTATTTAACACCAGTTTGAGGTTTTGATGCCTGAGTGGTTAATTTTTTCGCATCAAAACGACAAAACCGGTGTTTAATAGCCGATAAACATTCCAATCATGTTAAAAATTTAAATATGTGTTATCTCTACGTGTTGGTATGGGCATTGTGGTAAAAAATGGGCAACTAGCCAGTTTTGTGAACAAGCCTTGAAGATCACAGCAAGAAACTTAAGAGTTACTTAAGAATTAAAAATTTCTTTTTTTTTCTTTGTTCAAGGGGATAATCATACAGGTAGATATATGTATAACTATAGTCTCTTTGTTTTTTCTAGGTTAAATGACGTAATTTTTTTTATTGGGTAGCTTTGTTTTTCCATAGGGTATTGCATGTATATTTATCAATTATTATTATAAGTAAAGGAAAAGGATTTTTCTTATAAGGAATATTGTGCTTCCATATTGTATAGTATATATACATATGCTTAAGGGATATTTAGCAAACATGTGTTTAAATGTTTAAAAGTTTGAGGTTTTCTCTAGGTTTTATTTGTTTTGAATCAATAATTGCAATTTATTGATCATTTGTGGAAATGTTACTATCTTTATATACTTTATATGGTTGCTACAAATAAATGTTTAAAAAGATTTAACAGATTTAAAATAATGTCAGTTATGTTGTTTTTACCAAGATTGTTATTTTTCATTTTAAGTGTACTACTTAGTTTGTATTCTTAAAATGAGCCCAAAACTTGCTGAATTTCTTAATGGACTTGACCAGCAATAATTGTTGGAACAGTCTATTATCAATTTAAGGGATATCAAGATGAATATTTAAAGATAGTCAGTCAACAGTATAGAGCCTGGATGTACAGACTTGCCTGGCTTTATACTGAATACAAAGGCTAATATTTTTTTTTAATTATACATGTACGGCTACTGTGTGATAATGAAAGTAAACAAAGTTTGTGTTTGAAATTAATATTTGGGATATTTAGTATAGTCAGATTACATAGTGAGTGATATTTTGTATGTAAAAAAAAATAAACTAACCTTTGAAACCAGTCTTTACTTTTCATTATTAGCTTGTCAGTGAGCATTCCTGCCCCCCCCCTTTTTCTTCAGCATCTTAATCCAGATTTCTAATTAATGTTCGGTATTAAAATTTACATTCAATCATTTATTACTAAAGAGATTACCTTGAATCTTCTATTATTGGTTTCTTGTCTACACTAGCAACATATTAGACGTTATGGGCCTGTTATAGTTTACTATTAGGCCTGGATATTGCACGCTCATTGCATTAAAATATGTAGGTGAAGTTCACAATGCCCGCGACCGTCGTGCAAGAAGTCAAAAATATAGTAACGGATGCAAGTCCCTGTCAACCAAAACAATATACGTTGAAATATAACTCTCTTGACTTTGGTTTTGCAAATCATATGTTGGTATTTGAAATGCTTTTTCTTAACAATAAATTTCTTGAAGTAGTCATTAAGAAACTTTCTGAGTGTTGTATTTGATTCAACAGTAAAAAATGTTAGACTGACCTAGTCGGTATGCATTTATATTCTTGTGTGTAATTGAACCTTTCAACAAGCTAGTGCTTTATTGGGTTTTATTCACACACGCACGCACACAAAACACGCACATACACACAACTTTCAAGTGTACATTACTAAACAAGTTGTCATAGACCAATCAATAGAAAGTTGATTTGCAAGCTCTGAAATACAGGCTATACAAATTTTTTACGTTAGATAGATAGATAGATTTATTTCGGCATAAAGGTAAACATGTTACATGATAAACAAACACAATATAGATTAAAACAATTACAAATAAATGAAAAAATACTATATTATGTAAACTATGACATGTTCCCAAAACCAAGGATAACACAAAAAAGAGCAAGCTCTTATTTCCATTGTGGTCCTTAGCATTTGGTGGCATGACACAGAGAGCTATTTCATAAAAGAAAAAAAATTTCACAAATTATAAGATAAATCACATTAATGAAGGATATCATTTAGTACAATCACGGATTTATATTATATGTAATATAAATCCGTGGTACAATGCAAAATGCAGGCTTATATTCTACATGTCTCTCAGAAATTGCGTGTTCATACCGACAGGCAAGTTGGTTTAAACAATATTTATTTTCAATAAATTGATTACATAATATATCATACAAAGTACACAAGAATAATTACAGAGCGATTTAACATTAAAACTAAACTAAAATGTATACATAAATTATTAAGTGTACTAAACATGTAAACTATCAGAATAGAGGAGAAAGCTAAAAGCTTGTGCTAATTAAGCCTCGCTTCTGACTATCGTGCTAAGCTGCCATGATGGTGTAATAATCAGTATGTAATAATATTTTTGGGAAAACTACAGAGAAAAAAGATTTATAAATATAAAATAAATTGTTAGTTGGTAGAGTGTAATTGAAACTTAAAAGTGTCAGGGGGAAGCCCTGGAGGGACATTTTAAATTAATATTTAAAACTTAAAACTTATTATTTAAAATTTAATTCTTAATATTTAAAATTAAATTTTTAATATTTAATAATTAAATCTTATCATTAAAAATGGACGCGGGAAACCATTCCGTTGACAGATTGGGCATCGAGAATACGAGTAGCGAAGGAAGTAAAGTAAGTTGGACTTTATATACAAGAAAATCTGTTTTAAATCACACTAGGACACGCACACACACTTAATTTCATGGTGAGGACTGGCTTGTGCGGGTTTATTTATTTATTGCAAAAGACAATCCGTCCCGGATTGAAGGGGTTAAAGGTCCGAATTGGGCTGAGGGGAATATAAAATAACTTGGTACATTTGTTCACATTTGTTTATACCTACATTGAATAGTCCATTTTTGATGCAGTTCACAGCGTCTGCTATAAAATAAACATTACAATCAAGCAGGCTGGACATGCTGTCCTTGTGGATTTAGGTACTGTAAATCTTAAATGAAAAGCCTTGATTTTAAGACGAGTGTTTTAGGGCTATAATCATCCTACTGGTATGATCATTGATTTGCATTGGAAATTATCATTACAAGACTTATAGGTTGTAATAGTGTGCTTTTAAATGCCTGCAGTTTGCAAAAACCTTGCCACAGGTTTGGTAAACAAAACTTTAGATGTAGATATAAAGGGGAACTCCGTACATATAGCAGATTATATTCTCGAAACATAAAGTTTGTGCTCAATGAAAGTAAAATGATAAATAAATACAATGTCAAAGAAGAATCTATGCTGAACGAAACCTCATTTTACCACAATTTATCAATTTAGAGGCGTTCTGAAATAAATTGCTTCAACCCATTAATTGTACAGCAACAACTCTACATAGATTATTTTTACAGTACATTGTACTGCAAACATATTTAAACAGCTGATTTTATCGATAATGATTTGGAATGTATAGCTTAAACTTTTAATTTAAGTTATAATATTTTAAAAGATTCTATTATTTAAGTTTTGGAGGTTGTTTAGTTTGACATCAGTTATAGAGTATGTCCCTCTAGGCCAAAATTGTATGAAATTGGTTGTTAATAAAAGCTTTAATATATTTTAGGAAACTGCTGTAAAGAAAGGCAGAGGACAAAGCAGTGCATATAAAATGAAAATGGGATGGCAGAACTACCGAGATGGAAAGTACAGAGTTGATACTGAAGCAAAAGGTGGATAAGCACGCGTGATGTATTACACATTTGGGGAAAGACTGGCAGTAGAAAGAATAAGATATCAAGCGCTAAGTAACTATTTCCCGGACGGAGAAAGTAACATGGACAGTGTGAAGGACTACGACTTGTCATTGGCTTAAGCATCAGGACAAGTGATTGACAGTTATACTGATGTTGACCAAAATTCATGCAGTTTCACAGAGTATTTAGGAGCTAACAGTTTGTATGCGTCACAGTGCCATATATACCTGAGATAAAAAAAAGGAGAACAAAAGTTTCATGATAAATGGAGTCCCTGTAGAAAAGGGCGACAGAACTATTAACATAAAGTACAGCAAAATTAAGCACTCATTACATTCTGAAGAACAATCTGAAGTATTTTCCAATCAATATCGCGGTGCTTTAATGCGTCTGGGAGTCCAGAAAAAGATAATTCATGAAAGTGATCCGTTTGAAGATGGGTATGTGGTTTCTAGAACAGAAGTACAGAACACAGTCTTCCTAGAAAGAGATGGAAACGTTTATAATTGTTCAGAAGCTTCATCGCAGCAACATTTTGTATTGAATGGGCCATATCAATATTTAGTTTTAAGTTGATGATAGTAATTGTTTGGTTCTTGGTAAAATGATAATAACATTCATTTAAAAATGGTTGATACACGGAAATTTATTTTGTAGTGGTATCAATAGTTGTTCTGTTTTCATTTGAAATTGTATACAACTGACATATATGTTGTAACCCTGTGATAATTATAATCATACAAACTAATTGACAATTATAGATGATGATGTGATTTTGGTTATTATAATAATGTTTGCTTCTTAAACACTTTTATCAATGTAAAATGTTAGTTTTTTGTACCTGCCAAATGCTTAAAGCACATTTGTGGCATATATTTATTTTTAGTGACAGTTCTTGTTCTATTTAGTTGAAAAATAATCATTTTGTTGAGTTTGCCTAGTTGAGCCTTCAATTCTCATCCACATGGCAAAACTTGCTATGTTTTTAACTTTTGAATGAATACCCTTTTATTTGTATGTTGTATGCTGTAGGTAGTTACCCCCCAAATTGTTATCAATTGGAAATTTGACCCAAAGCGATTATTCATTGATGAGTGTAGATACGTAGCTTTGATTTTGTACTTTGATAAGTCACTGTAATAAAAGAGTAAAAGTTGTTACACTGACTTTGCTGCCTTATTTTTTAATTATACTTTTTAACAAACAACTATAACCTATCTATACGCCATCAGTAAGGGGAACACATATGATCATCCATACTTTTCTTGCTGTTATTTGTCTTAAAATAGCAGTGCATAACTGAATGGTTTACCTGCTGACTGCACTGTAAAATCAGTGAAAATGCTTAATGCTCAGGGAAATCATAAGGAACATTTTCCATTTGATGGAAACAGTTATTTTGCGTTACTTTGGCAACACTAGCATAAGGGATGATACCAAAGTTGTCAAAGTACTGTACTACTATTTTTATCACGGAACCTGTGACCAGATATCAATTTCTTGTAACCAACTGTTTTTAAAAAATGTCGAAAATGATGGGGTTTCTCGTCATTGTTAATTTCAGCCATTTTAGCTCACTTGAGATAGAGTTTTTTTTAAAATAAACGCAAAATAAACAAAATATAGATGGTTTAAAGCTTGTCACAGACTTAGTGGATCAAACAGTAGTATACAAACGTTTGTTGGCCAGTTTATTTTAAAACAACATTTTAGATGCATAACCATTTGCATTGAAAACTGTTCAGAAATGAATAGAGCTCTGTGTTTAATTCAATAAAGAGCAAATTTGATATATCTTGATGCCTTTTTAGCTCATCTTAAAGGTGAGCTACTGTCATTGCCCACTGTGTGTCGTCTGTCGGTGTGTTTCTCAACATTTCCCTTGTGAATACATTACAGGTCACATTTTGTATCCCATCTTCATCAACATTGTTCAAAATGTTTATCTAATTGATTTTCTAGGTCAATTTTTAATCTGGGTTATCTGGGGTCATAAACTAGGTCACTAGTTGAAATCAAGGAAAAACATAGAGAACACTTTAAATGCTGTATTTTCAACTTGAACAACTTAAAAGTTTATGAGAATATTTGTGTGGATAATCTTTAGGTCGAGTTTGAATCTGGGTCATATGGGGTAAAAAATAGGTCAAATCAAAGAAAAATATTTTGAACACTACTTGTTTTTTTTTTTTTCAGTTGGAACAACTTGTAAACTTATCATAGGTCATATATGTAGGTCAAAGTTGAAACTTTTGGGGTTAAAAAGCGCTAAAATTTGATCCCTTCTGGAGAACATTTGGCAAGTTTTTAGTACTGCCTACAAAAAGCTCACATT